CTTAATAGGGATGACATTTCCATGCCCTGGGTCCTGGGGAGAAAAGTCTGGCAAACAAGAAAAGCTTTATGTCGTCCTTTCCTATGAGAATAGTTTTACAGTGGGTGCTCATAGGCAGAACTTTGCTAAATACGTTTTAAACTAGGCAAGATTGAAAGTTTCTTTAAAACCATAGGTGTATAAAATATCACCCAAGTTTTTTGGAGCCACATGAATGTGCAAGCAATCTGCTTTGGGTGAGCAAAAATGAATTGTTTTTCTAATCATGAAAATTGACATGTTTCTAACCTCCTTAAAATATAAGCAGTAGAACATAGTGGACTGTCAGTTTGACTATGTTTCTCCATTGTTTATAAGAAAATTCTGAGCAAGAGTGCTTCCAGCTTATTATAATTAGCTTGAAACCTGATTATAAACTTGTAGTCATCAGTGAACCTTAAAAGGACTAGGAAATTTAAGGTTCTTGGTTTTTTTATTTAGTAAATAAACTTTTAAAAAGTCTAGCTGATTCGAAGTTACTGTTAGCAGGGTGAAAGAGTGTCTTTTCATAAAATCACAGACTTCTAGAGCAGAAGGGACTGAAACAACCATGAATACCCTCTTATTTTATAGAGCAGAAAATTTGAGATGCAGAAAGATTGATGAATTTGCCCACTTTGTCACACTGGTAGGCAGAGCCAGGAGTGAAATCCAGGCCTTCTGACCTGTAACCCAGTTCTCTTCCCACTATTCAGACTTTTTCATCATCTTATTCATTATTAGAAGTGCGGCATTCACTTTTTTATTGATTAAATACACATAGTATATAATCATTACATTAAAAAAGGTCCCTTTGAGTAGGTAAACACATGAACGTGGAAGCAGAGTCCACAGGCACACAAAGGTTCGTGGCCTGCCATGCTGAGTCTAGCTCTCCTAACTCCTATCCATATCAGATCTCTCCTTGGAAGCAGCCACTATAAAAAAGAATAGGCCATTTTGATCTAATGACTTGTCTAAACTGACACAATATTACATTATTCTTCCCAAACTGCAACTTGGCCTGCCAAGTTTAGGTAATGCCTGACGGAGGAAAAACATAAGGTGCAGAATTGGAATATGGAGAGATTTATGAATTGCATTTGAAAATTACCCAAAGCCCAACGCTTTTCCAGTAATAGAAGTGAGGGCTCTCTTACAGCAGGACTCTGTGACTCAGATAATGCCCTTCATACAGAGAGCCTCGAGTATAAGAGCTCTCATAATGTGGAAAATCCCTGTCGGAGTATTGAACTGGGTACAACAGCTTTAAAATTAGCACACTGGCCAAAAAAAAGGAATTATGCTGATGTTTAAATAAACATCCTGAGCCTCTGTACAGCCAGCCATCAGTGTGAGACACCATATGGACCTACTTCTCTTGGCCTCTGAGCCTCCGCTGCCTACCTTGATGACACCTTAGGGCTTGGTCCTTGGATGGGTGCACCCAAGCATTTGGTCTGGAACGTTCCTGGCAGAGTGAGCAAGTTGTACGAGGAGGTGAAAGGGGCCCCAGGGGTACCGGGGCACCGTTGACCCTGCTGCTACTGTTGGGAGTGTGGCGTGAGAAAAGCAGAGGTTTGCATGCACAGCTGCCCATGTGCTGAGAGGTCAGGCTGGAGAAGGCTGCCAGCCTCTGCGCAGCAAGACAAATCTTGAAGGAGGACGGAGACCGCAAGTGTTTCTCTTCTTTCACTACGTCTGTGTGACTGTGTGACAAGAGGTTTTACCTGAGAGGGGAGAGGACACCGGAAATTATAGGTGGTTTAAAGAGCTGAGAATGGGTTCAGGGAAGAGAGGGAGAGAGGAAAGACAAGGGGAGGGAAGTTGTCTTTTTGAGAGACGTTCTTTGACTCATATACCATTAGACTGTTGGAGAGTGGGTTTCACATTCTACTCTAAGGCAGTGATTTTTCTTCCCCCCCAAACTTCCCTGATCCTAAGATTCTTTGGGAATACTTGCTTAAAGTTCAACTTCCAGGGCACCTGGCTGGCTCAGTCAGAAGAGCATGCCCCCCAACTAATAACATCTTTAGTGAAGTTAGAAGTGGTTTTTAAAAAATTTTTTATTTAAATTCAATTCAGTTAACATATAGTCTATTACTGGTTTCAGAGGTAGAGTTCAATGATTCATCAGTTGCGTACATCACCTGGTGCTCATTCCATCACATGCCCTCCTTAAGATCCATCACCCAGTTACCCATCCCTCCACCCCCCACCCCAGAACCCTCAGTTTCCTATAGTTAAGAGTCTCTTGTGGTTTGCCTCCCTCTCTGTTTTCATCTTATTTTTCTTTCCCTTTCCTATGTTTATCTGTTTTGTTTCCTAAATTCCACATGAATTTAATCATATGGCATTTGTCGTTCTCTGACTCATTTCGCTTAGCATGATATCCTCCAGTTTTATCCACGTTGTTGCAAATGGCATATTTCATTCTTTTTGATGGCTGAGTAGTATTTCGGGGTGTGTGTGTGTGTGTGTGTGTGTGTGTGTGTGTGTCAGTGAGAGAGAGAGAGAGAGAGAGAGAGATCCATTCATCTGTTGATGGACATCTGGGCTCTCCATATTTTGGTGACTGTGGACGTTGCTGCTATAAATATTGAGGTGCATGTGCCCCTTCAAATCACTATGTTTGGGTCCTTTGGATAAATACCTAGTAGTGCAATTGCTGTGTTGTAGGGTAGCTCTATTTTTTACCTTTTAGGAACCTTCATACTGTTTTCCGGGGTGACTGTACCCATCAACACTGTAAGAGGGTTCTTCCCCTTTCTCCACATCCTCACCAACATCTGTTGTTTCCTAATTTGTTAATTTCAGCCATTCCAACCGGTGTGAGGTGGTATGTTATGGTGGTTTTGATTTGTATTTCCCTGGTGTGGAGTGATGTTGAGCACTTTTTTCATGTGTCTGTTGGCCATTTGCATGTCTTTGGACAAATGTTTGTTCCTGTCCTCTGCCCATTTCTTAATTGGATTATTTGTTTGGGAATTGAGTTTGATTAAGTTCTTAATAGATTTTGAATAGTCCTTTATCTGATAAGACATTTGCAAATATCTTCTCCCATTCTGTCCATTGTCTTTTACTTTTGTTGACTGTTTCCTTTGCTGTGGAAAAGCTTTTTATCCTGATGAAGTCCTAATAGTTGCTAATTTTTGCTTTTGTTTCCCTTGCCTTTGGAGACGTGTCTAGCAACAAGAAGTTGCTGTGGCTGACGTCAAAGAGGCTGCTGCCTGTGTTCTCCTCAAGGATTTTGTTGAATTCTTGACTCACGTTTAGGTCTTTCATCCACTTTGAGTCTATTTTTGTGTGTGGTATAAGGAAATGGTCCAGTTTCATTCTTCTGCATGTGGCTGTCCGATTTTTCCACCACCATTTGTTGAAGAGACTGTCTTTTTTCCATTGGACATTCTTTCCTGATTTGTTGAAGATTAGTTGATCGTAGAGTTGAGGGTCCATTTTTGGGTTCTCTGTTCTGTTCCATTGACCTGTGTCTCTTTTTGTGGCAGTTCCATACTGTCTTGATGATCACAGCTCTGTAATACAGCTTGAAGTCTGGAATTGTGATACCTCCAGCTTTGGTTTTCTTTTTCAGTGTTTCTTTGGCTATTTGGGTCTTTTCTGGTTCCATACAAATTTTAGGATTGTTTGTTCCAGCTCTGTGAAAAATGCTGACAGTATTTTGATGGGGATTGCGTTGAATGTGTAGACTGCTCTAGGTAGCGTAGAAATTTTAACAATATTAGTTCTTCCAACCCACGAGAATGGAGTGTTTTTCCATTTCTTTGTCTTCCTCAATTTCTTTCATAAGCGTTCTATAGTTTTCTGAGTATATCTCCTTTACCTCTTTGGTTAGGTTTATTCCTAGGTATCTTTTGGGTTTTGGTACAATTATAAATGGGATCAATTCCTTGATTTCTCTTTCCTCTGCTTCATTGTTAGTGTATAGAAATGCAACTGACTTCTGTGCATTGATTTTGTATCCTGTGACTTTGCTGAATTCCTGTATCAGTTCTAGCAATTTTTTTGTGGAGTCTTTCAGGTTATCTACGTAGAGTATCATGTCATCTTGGAGAGTGAAAGTTTGACTTCTTTGCCGATTTGGATGCCTTTTATTTCTTTTTGTTCGATGAGCATGCCTCTCTTGATCTTGGGGTTGACTCTCGATCTCAGGTTTGTGAGTGTAGAGATTACTAAAAATAAATCAACTTGAAAACAAAAAAATAAAATGAAAGTTCAGCTTCCTTGGCATCTGCCCCAGAGATTCTGGCTGCATGTTCCTTTTCCCCTGATAATAATGCCTTTGTGTTGATTTTTTAAAAATGTTTCTGGACATTTAAAATATTGTTTAAAACACCAGAATATTGGTTCATAGTGACTGTTGAAACATAAGTGCTGTTAGGGGCGCCTGGGTGGCTCAGCTAGTTAAGCATCTGCCTTTGGCTCAGGTCATGATCCCAGCGTCCTGTGATCGAGCCCCTTGTTGGGCTTCTTGCTCAGTTGTGAGTCTGCTTCTCCCTCTCCCTCTGTCTTCCCCTCCTCTTTGGCTCATGTTCTTGCTGTCTCTCAAATAAGTAAAGTAAAAAAAAAAAAAAAGAAACATGGGTGCTCTTAACCTTTGCAAAAGAACCACCAAGTGTTCTTGTTTGTTGTAATGGCCCTGCTATTATATTAGACCCAGATCCCTGTCTGTGAGTTTTAAGTTATTCAGATTTGAAAGAGTATGGTAATTGTTGGTGACTTTTTTTTTTAAATTTTTTAAAAAGTTTTTATTCACAAAAATTCGTATTTTCATATAATAATTATAAAGAAAATGCAAGCATGAGTAAGACCTATACATTCCTGATGTCGTCCAACAGTAAAGGTTTCTGTAGTTAAAACTTTCATAATGAGGCAATAGCCACTGTTTGTTTCTTCATCACGGTCATTTTAACATTTTAAAATGTAAATAACAAATTTCAGTGATTGTATTGTTTTCTTTTCAGATAGGAACCAAGGCTTTAGCCTTCTTAGTTCATTGGCTGGAGCAAACCATAGCATTGGGTCAGCAGATATGTGTGCCTCAGAGGTAAAGATTCTTCCTGGATCCTTTCAGAGCTTTGGTTTTTTTTCTCATTGTCGTTGTAAGTCTTTATACCATTGTCATTTTTTCCTTTCCATTTAAGAGGCAGCAGACAATAGTAGACCAAGGGTAAAAAGAGAACCTAAAACAGTCCTCTTGTGCCTGGTACCTGTTGAGAGAAGGCTGGTTCAGCATTAAAGCAATAAGCCCTCTCAAGATGTTTACAGTTTGGGCTGTTCCATGGGGTTTTTGTTTTGGTTTGGTTTGGTTTGGTTTGGTTTTGCTAGAGGCTTTAAAAAACGTGCTAGGATTTCCTTGAGACATAAAGTTGCCTCCCGAATCTTTATAAAATAGAATTGATGGTTCTTTGTCAGTATTCCTATGTCCGAAGCCCTGTACCAATCTGAGGCAGGGTCCCTGCCTTCAGTGGGCTTCATTGTCTGACTTCGACCCTGTGTCCTCAAGGATTTGGGTTCGAGCGTACGTTGGTCAGCATGCTGGAACCAAGAGCAGACTGCACAGCAGACTGCTGTATTGTCTCCCCAGGCATCTTTTTCATCAGTCTCGACCACTTTGTGATATGCTTATGTCCATTTTCACATTTTGAATAAAACGTGGCTCTTAAACAAAAGGCGTGTTTTAGTAGCCAACAGCAGAATCATAATGCTTTCTGGTTTTTCCTGAAGGGAAAATACTCCTGAGTTAGTGAATTTTTAGCCTCTTATTTATTTTTTTAATGTGACATTGCTCCTTCTTCCATCTCTCCTTGTCTCTAGCTTCTGTTACTGCTTCTCTAAAGCCAACCAGGGAGGGGAAGTGTGAGTCTTTCTGGCTTAGTTCTGAAATAGCCTCCTATTAAATTAGTGCTCGTGTCTGTTTTCCTCAACAGCAGCCCCATTTGCCAGCAGCAGCGAGGACTGAATCTCCCTTGGATCATCGGAGCGGTGCATCTAACACAACAGACACTCGGGCTGAGAGCATTGCGGGTAAGTTCCTCCTTTGGCTGCCAGGAGACTGCTCTGTGGAACTTGGAAGAGGTATGGGGCATAAATCATCTGGGGGGACATTGACTTGAAACATGAGCAAGGGAAGAAAATCGATAGTGTACCCCAAGTGAATGTGAGCTTCGTGGACGGCTATCAGAAAAGGAGGGAGAATAACCACAGAAGCAGACTGTGGGTACCATTTTCTCTGATTCTTGTAGCAGGATCTTGATTCAGATCATCTTAACAGAGACAGACAGAACCAGGTGGTGAAACAGCTTTATATCTCCATATTCCAGTTTTTTTCATAGTATTTAACAGTTGGCAGAATTGATGGTAACAAGAATAATACAACTTTATAAGCCCTTTCACATCCTTTGAAAGTTCTTTTAGATCTACTTTCTCATGTTTGGTAATGAAGTTTGGCAGAGAAGTTATTTTATGGAGATGGAGCTGAGGCCCAGAACAGTTTAAGAACTCGTCCAAGGACATCTAACAAGAAGGTCCCAGAACTGAGACTAGAATCCATTCTGACGTCCAAAAGCCAAGAAATGTAGTTGACAGTAACTGTAAATGTCCTTTTATTGGGAAACTACTAACATCTCTGCTTTCTTTTTATGCCACAGAGGGCCCTACATGCAGGATTTGCAAAACTCTATTTCTGATTAGAAGAGAGTCCATGTAGAAAACTTAAGTGTTTGGTAATAGACACATATTAAGAAGGAAAAATTACGTATAATCTCTTTTCTCTTTAGTATGTTCAACCTTGTCTTCTCACTTGGGTCCCTCCTACTGGCTTTAGACCCACTAAAGTCTCTGCCATGAAAAAAAACCAGTAACCACACTAACCTAAATAACTTGGGGAAATAGCATTCTGACCGGATACCAGGAGGCCCCAAACAGAAACAGTGCAACAGAAATAGCAAACTCTGTTTAATACATTTGAATGTCATAAGGGTATGGTTTAGAAATGCTGAAATTATGTATATTTTGTATATATCAGGGTTGAAAAAATCAGAAAATATAGAGAATGAGAGCTTGGTTTCTCACTGTCTGAGAAAGAAGCCACATCTAAGGAAAGGAAAAAGCTAGGATGAACCCTTGGTTCTGGGCTGGAACTCAAGGTATTAGCATGATGACATACTTACAGTTAGAGTGATAGAGCAATAAACAGAGATAGGCGTGTGCATGTTAGTATGTGTGTGTGTGTGTGTGTGTGTGTGTGTGTTTCCTACCTATTTCCACTGAGAGGGCCTGGAAGCACTCACACTCCCAATAGACGTTGACACCCTTAGCATTCAGATCTTGCTTTTTAAATACCTTTTGCCAATAAAAGGATCCAGGGGCACTTGGAAAAGTAATTGATTCTAGGTCCGGGGCAGGAAGAATGCAGGATGCTGAACCTAGAGCCATCTCCTGGGGCCAGAAAGTAAGGAACTACTGACAGAAGGGGTGGGAGCGTGTTGAAGGGGCACCAAGCCAACCTTGGAGAGAGCTTCCAGTGGCCGATGCTGGAGCAGTGTGACCAGCGAGATCGAATTTAGTATTGGGCTGTAACCCACAGAACAAAATAAATATCTGTAAATCCAGACTAATATAAGAAATAACTGGGCAAGAAAGGGCGGCTCTTCCTTGCAGAAGAATTCTAATTAATACACGTGGAAGGAATGAGGGAAAGAAAAGTCCTTGTCAGCCACGATCAGAATCCACAGATGGATGTGAGAATTAGTAGATGAAAGTTTGTGAAGAAACGTGACAGCTACTAAAGTAGCTCTCCCGAGATACTGACTTAATACAAAAAGGAAGATAGTAACTTTGCCCTGGAGAAACCCGGCAGGTAGCCTTTCAGTGGTGTTGAAGCTCACCAGCAGTAAGGTGTGCAGACATCCTGTGCCCCCTGCTGGGGCACCAGAAGGACTCATCATGCCTCTGGTCTCCGTGCCAGAGCTGTGTGACCTCAGTCTCCTAGGAAAACATCCGACAAACCCATACGGAGGGACTGTCTACAAAATCACTCTTCAGAAGTGTCAAAGCCATGACAGACGAGGAAAGACTATAAGGAATGGTCACACATTGAAGAAGACTACAGAGATATCGTAGCCGAATTCTGTGTAAGCTTCTGAAACAGGATGCTAGGGAGAAAAGTGACGAAGGTGGAATGAAGTCTGTAGTTTGGTTAATAGCACTGTACCATTATTAACTTCTCAACGTGTGTCGTACTGCGGCTAGATAAGAGGTTAACACTAGGGGATGAAGGTGGAACCCTACTGTTTTTGCAACTTTTTTGTAATACTAAAATTGTTTCAAAATTAAAAAAAAAAAAAAAGGTAAAAACCAAGCCAACAGGGGTAAAACACTTGTCAATCCCACATCTTCCTCCTCTCTTTATTGGAGGGCGAACTTCTTTCCATACCTCACCTCCCATTACTCTTTAGCTCACTCCCACCTAGTTTTTGCCCCATTTGCTACTAAAGCAGTTCACCAGCGACCTCCAGACCACTAAAGGTAATAGGCACCTCCCAGTCCTTGTCTTGACCTCTTGGCAGCTTTCAATATTCCAGATCAGTCCCTTTTTGAAACTTTTTCTCTTGCTCATCCGACACATCTCCTCGTTTTCTTCTGACTTCTCTGGTTATTCTTTTCCTTTCTCTGTTAGATGACCCTCCTTCATCCAGCTTCTCAAGATTGCCATTCCTCGGTGCTCCATCTAAACTCCTCTGCCAAACCCATATTTAAGCATGGAGTGATTCTGTGCGCGTCCAGCTACCATGTATGCGTAGATAAATCACAGATTCTTAACCTCCAGCCCTGCGCATCTGCTGCCTACATGAAACTTCCCCTGAACCAAAGCAAATTTATGAGCTAAAGTGCATTCTTAACACCAGATTATCTGCATGGCATTGTAGTTGATGTGGAGAATTAGAAGCTGTCCTTGTCTTCAAGCAGCTTACACCTTAAAACTGTAGAGATGGGCCTTGCAGTATAATGCTCACGGTTGTGGACTCGGAGTCCCGGACAACTGGGTTCAAATCATGGCTCTGCCAGTAATGGTGACATGACCTTGAGTGAGTTATTTAGCCTCTCTACAGGCCCTAGTTTCCCTTTCTATAAAATAAAATTTTTCCTCATGAATTTGTCACAGAAATGAAATGGAATCATGGGGCCCCTGGGTGGCTCGATTGATGAAGCATCCAACTCTTGACTTTGGCTCAGGTCATGATCTTGGGGTCGTGGGATTGAGCTCCCCGCCCCAGTTGAGCTCTACGCTCCATGAGGAGTCTGCTTGAGGATTCGATCTCTCCCTCCCCCACTCCCTGTCCCCCGGCTCACACACACGCTCTCCCTCTCTAAAAAGTATGGGATGAATTCTAGAGAAGGAGACCTGTGAACTGGGCTGGCTAGGAAAGACTTCCTAGAGGTGTTCGGCATAGAGTGGAGAGTGAGTAAGAATGCTGATTAAAAATAAACTGTGTAAAGAGATAACAGGCTGTGATAGAAATAATAAAGGATTTGTAGTAAGGAAATAGGTAGGCATTGGCTTTCCTGCCGAGTAGCTGTAATTTTAGATGAGTTCATTTTTAAAGCCAGCTTCTTCATGTGTAAATCACAGGCATCGCTTACTGCCCTAACCACCTTATATAGTGGCTGTCCGTAATGGGAAAATACTTGTCGTACAGGAAAAATGGTATAACTTCCAGACGTCTGTGTTGATCGGTACCCCTCAGTGGAGAGGGTGGCCTTTAGAGTTGGAAACACCTAAGTGTGAATCCACTGCGTTCACACCGGCTATGACCATGAGCAAGTCACTTCAACTCACAGCTCTACCTTTCTTATCTCTAAGATGAAACCAAGTTCTTTGCCTCAGTGTAATGTTGTAAGGATAAAATAAGTTTACTCTTCATTTGTGGAGGCCCACTAGCAGCCAGGCAGGGGGAGCACCACACACAGGAAAGCGGGGACACATGGAGGAATCATTCAGTGATGACTCCCATCAAAGCTAAGATCGATTGCTGTATGACTGTGTATTTAGCACACGCAGAAGTCATTTCGGGCAAATAACGTGACAAATCCTTTTTTCAGATCCCATGTTAGATCTGGATATTCAAGAATTAGCCAGTCTTACTACTGGTGGAGGAGATTTGGAGAATTTTGAAAGACTGTTTTCAAAGTTAAAGGAAATGAAAGGTAATTGGCTCCATCATGTCTAACATGTTCCTCTCCTGGCGCTCCTCTATTTTATATGGTAGGATTTTGTTTTGTAACCACTGATTGGATTCCATCCTCTGGTCTCAGCTGTCTGGAGACACCTGGTGACTGGGGGACTGTGCCATCCTCTGTTGGTAGAAATTCCCCCGAGGAAAGTTTTCCTCTTTCTTCACTCTCTCTCCTCTTACTTTCCCTTCTTTTCTTGCCTCTCTCGGTTTCTTTCAGTGTGTCTCATTAACCTGGAATCAGTAAGATCCCTGCCAGTTTTCTCACATCATCCCCATGTGGAAAATCGGGAAGACTTAAACTCCCTAACAGCTGTAATGACTGCGCCATAAGCATTTGTCTTTGAAACCCATCTCCCATCTTCTAGCGTTAGAACATCCGTACACTCCAGACTCTCCTGTGCTATTAAGCGAATTTCTTAAGGTCTGTTTCCCCCCTAGACAAGGCTGCGACGCTTCCTCACGAGCAAAGAAAGTTGCATGCAGAAAAGGTGAGACAACCAGCCACATATTTATTGAGTATCTATGAGAACGTCTGGTACTGTTAGGTATCCCACTCATTGACTTTTAGATGTCTCAGTGTCAACTTTTCATTGGATGGTAGCTTGAAACTAATTGAATGTTTACACAGTAGTAATATAATTGCTGTAGTCAAACCAAGATTTTTCAAATGTTGGGTGACATGGAACGTTCATTGAGACTCAGGATGTTTGCCTTCCTAACTGTTGGGCTGGAAAACCCTTAGTCGTTTTGTTTTGTTCTGTTTTGTTATTACCAACGCGACACATGTTCTTGGCAGGAAATGTATGTGGTTTATGGTATTTCATTGTATGAATGTGCCCTCATTTATTTATCCATTTCCCTTTTGGACATTTAGGTCATGTGTGTTTTTTTGCTTCTATAAGTAGAGAAACTGTGCATAATCTTACACACCATCACCTTTGTATGTCACTCTGATTTCGTCCTTAGTGTAAATTTCTCGAAGTGGAAGTCCCTGGTCAGGGTCTCCAAGGGCTTGGCTACCCAGGGCTGGAGGGCTGGAGGGCTGGAGGGCTGGAGGGCTGGAGGGCTGGAGGGCAGGGTGTAGAGCGTTAGGCCTTGATCAGTTCAGCGTATTGACTGACTCATGAACCAAGCTGCAGGGTAGCTCTTGCCTAAAATGTGCTGCATGCTTCTCTCCACAGGTGGCCAAAGCCTTCTGGATGGCAATTGGGGGAGACAGAGATGAAATCGAAGGCCTTTCCTCTGATGAAGAACACTAAGTCGCCCGCACTAGGATTTGACTGCCTCAGACTCTTCCCTACTGCACCCAGTTCTGTTTGGCCAGACTTCCCAGCATCCTGTTGGCCTCCTGACTTAGTTCTAGGGCTGCCTTACTTTTAGTTTTTAGTAGGGGGTAGTGGGGCTTTTCTCCCTCAGTATAGTGGAAGGGAGTGAGGAAGGTAATGCCAGCAAGGAGTGACAGTTTTCCCAGTACAGAGGCCTGGGTGGTTTGCCCCAGCTGCAGGAGGAGGCCACCATGCCATTCCCGGCCCACCTTTAGCAGAGTGTCCTCTGCAGTCACACTCTGTCACTGTGGATCAGGAGCTGGTGCCGCCTTTCCTCAGGCTTCTGGATTTTCCGCCTGCAGGGAGCTTGCCCACCCTGAGCTTTGGTGCTTTCGATGGTAGGGAAGGAAGCAGCAGACTTGATTTGTGCCACGCAGTAGGTGGGCCTGGAGTCACTGGCTCTCAGCTCAGTCTCACGCAAAAAAATGTCTCTGGCCGTTTCCTGTGAAAGAGTGTCTCAGCTCACACCAGAAACTACTGAGAAACGAGGGTGAATTTTTAGACAATGATAGAGGAGGCCAGGGTATCCTCCTCTGGTAGGGATAAACAAACCCATCTACCAGGTTGCTCTTATTGTGGGGGCGGGGGTGGTTTGTGTTTAAGAGAGAGAAAGAAACTTCAGGAATTCCCTGTTCTGGGCCAGTGAAGCGGTCTGTGACCTTATCTGGAGGCTTTTGCATTAGTCCTACCAGGAGGAAACTCGTCTTCCTGAGAGCTCAGTGAGATATCAGAGCTGTGCTGTCACACTTTATACCCTCAAAACAAGGCAACTTTCCCCTCTTTGTCTCTGAGAACCCAACAGATCACTGCCAGCACGGTCACACTGCAGGGTGCGTGAGCCGGAGAAGGAGGGAAAGGATGTGAGAGGTTAGGCGGTGAAGCTCTGAGGGCCAGTGTGATGTGCAGGGCTCGGAGTGGGGGCTCAGCTTCGGGGGAGCCAATCCCCACAGGGAACGTTTCCTAAAGAAGGGTGGGAAATACAGCAAATAAAAATCCCTATTTCTGTGTTTGTAGACACTTGGGAATGTATGCCATTGACCTTCACTGTGGTAGCCATTGTCACAGTTCTAGACTGGCGCATGGTGCCCCAGCTGGCTGGTGCTGGCGAACAGGCTGACAGCCCCTCCTGGCTTAGCGTGGACTGTGAACTCCTTAGGTCACCAGCAGAAACAAGCTTCAGACCCCTCTGTGCCCCGCTAATCTCTGCAGAAGGAATGGTGGGAGGGGTGGAATGCTCCAGGCCCTGGGCCAGGGCAGCCTTGACCAAGGAGGGGATGGTTTCAGTGATTGGAGCATTCAGGAAGAGCCATCATCGCAGGCAACATTGGCAGTTATCTTGCTTGGTGACCCTTTCTCCCCCCTTTCCTTCCCCCCCCCTTTTAACTATTCTGAAGGTCTTTGAGACAATAGTTGATCACCATTCCATCATCTTTGAGGTGGCTACATTAGCTGTTGATAAGAATGCAAGGGAGGTTGGCTCTGGGTTGCAAAATGAAAGGCAGAATATTCTTAAAACATGAAGGGTTTCAGAAAATATATCAGGTCACATGGTTAGGGAACACAGACTAGAAAAAGCTGTGAATGTGATTTTCTGGATTAAACAAAGCCAGGTGATTAAAATATGATTTATTTATAAAGTCTGCTAATGTGTGTTATGATTGTTGTTTTTAGCAGGGCCTGTGTCGGGGAAGGCTTCCTTCACACTGGGCGTAGGTAGTGAATAACTGGAGAGTTGGTCAAACTCACAATTTTGGAGTCTCCCACATACATGTGTATCAACTGACCTTTTCAAGACCTCAGCGTTCGGGGCGTCTGGATGGCTCATGGGGTTAAGCCTCTGCCTTCGGCTCAGGTCATGATCTCAGGGTTCTGGGATCGAGCCCCGTATCGGGCTCCGTGCTTGGCAGGGAGTGCTTCTCCCTCTGCTCATCCTCTGCTCATGCAAGCATGCATGTGTGTGTGCAAGCTTACATGCATGCACACACACATACACTCTCTCTCAAAAACAATAAAAACTTGAAGACCTCAGCTTTTGGGGGCTGTTGGCCCCTTCCAGGGGACATCGGGGATAAAGTATCCAGTGCTTGTCTCCTAAAGGCCCATGGTAAGAAGAGTGATCATGAGCTAATAGTGTAATAAAAGTTGTGTTCTACCTGGCCACCTGCGTGGCTCAGTCGCTTAAGTGTTTGACTCTTGATTTCGGCTCAGGTCATGATCTCAGGGTTGTGAGATCAAGCCCTGAGTTGGGCTCTGCACTGGGCGAGGGGTCTGCTTAGGATTTTCTCTTTCCCTCTGCCCGTCCCCACCCCTCTCCCACTCCAAAAAAAAAAAAAAAAAAAAAAAAAGTTGCAGTCTATCTAATGTGATCTATGTACATGCCAACACAAGTTCCTATGGACAGTCTGGGATTTTAAGTGAGACTCGTGTTCTCCCCCTAGCATTTCTCTATTTGTGTAACAGAGTCGGGCATGCAGTAGGCCCTGAATTTTGGCATTGATTTGGATATGCTAGTTTGAAAAAACTGATGACAAAAAGTTTGAAGGTCCACGAGTACTGGAAGGTAAGGAGAGACAAAAATAAGCTTTTTTTTCCCGCTGAGAAAATCATGTGTTATGTAATAATTTTAGAGTGATGAAGACATAGATATTTTTATAATTTTAAAATATGTTATCCTGCCAGAGTGTGAGAAGATTGACAGAACCAGTTTGCTTTCTCTCTATTTATAGAACTTGGCCACATCTAATTCAGAGAAGCAAGAGATTCAGGGACGCTAGACTTGGACGGCTGAGTAATATGGGATGTGGTTCAAGGACCATCGAGCATGTCAGGCCATCACTGTAGACTACTTGTAACTCATGAAATGTGATCTGTGGCTCCCTTCCTGTTCCCCACTGTGGAGAGAAGGGGATCAACACCGTCACTGTAGCTTGTTGGATTCCCTTAACCTCGGGCCAGTCTCGTAACAATGGCCATGGAGAGAGCACGTGGAGTGCCCCTTGCTCTGCGCTGGGCTGCCACAGAAAAGCAGCCTTAGAAGAATTACTATCTGAGGGTAAGCTGAGAGCTCCGTGAACTATTCTGAGTGCTTGCGGACGCAGAGCTAAATTTAGTGAACATGTGTCTAGTGTGGTCAGAGGCTCTGATTCATTGAACGTTCTGCTTGATGGAGACAGAGCTTCAGAGAATTGTGTAATGAGTTAGAGTCCTTCACCGCCCCCCCCAACCCCAGATTTAAAGCAGTCGCACAATTTAGGTACGGCATTCTGTCATTAAATACCAAATCTTATTGGAGGACTCCAGGTGGAGGAGATGGAAAATCTAGTCAAGTGTGTACCACCTTCATGTAGGAGAACACCCTGACGATGAACTTCCCTGAAATTTGTGTGTCTCCTAAAAGCAGGCTGAACGTGCAGGGTGAAGTTCATGGTTTGACTTAGATTCCACTTAGGGTTTAGTGTAGAGCTCCATCCTTGCGTCTCTGGCATAGAAGCTGTTGCAGAAAAGATTTTCGAAATTCTCGGTTTCACATTCTTGGCACTATCTAGCTTGTTATTAACACCTTGAGTCTTGCTCTTTGTGCAGATACCTTTACGCAGAGTTTAGTGTGTGTGTTTGTAGCACTAAAGCCAGAGTCTAGACTAGGAAGCAGTTTCCTCGATGCTGAGGTGTTTCTCTGACATGCAGAGTGGACAATTAGGAAGAGAGGTGGTAGCAACCACATGGGCCTTTTGTTGGAACACCACTGAGCCCCATTCCAGCCGTGAATGATCCGTGGTTCTACCTCGTTTCCTTTTGAAAAAGTACTGATTCAGAACCTGGACCTCGTGGTTATTACTGCAACTTTAGAACACAGGTTTGGGAAGAAAAAAAATTTTCCCTCTAGCAAGCTGTCATATCTGTATCTATCTGTTGATAGGTCTAAAGCCTCTCTCCCCACGAGCACAGATCTGGGAGGCATAAACAGGTCACGTAAAGCAGTTCTTGACCAGCCTCCGTGGTTCTCGCCTGTGAAGGAGGTGACCAATCATTGCCTCTCCCTTTTCTCTTACCAACCAGGTGGCTTCCATGCTACAAAATGGGGGCTAAGTGAGGTCTGGGGTAGGAAACGGCACAGTTTGGGAGGCCATCCTCTTCATCTGAAGCCCAAGGACAGAGTCTGCACCAATCCTGCCACTCTGGAAAATTCTCAGGATGTCATCAGTGGGGAAGTTAGAAGGCTTCAAGGTTGGAGTTGAGGAAAAGCAACCATAAGGCGTTCCTTTACCCAGGTGAGAGATGAGCCTGGTTTCAGGGTCCAGCACTGCCTGTGAACCTTCCTAGTGCCAGGGTGGGCCAGGTGTGGCAGAGACCACAGACTTGGGGAAGGATGTGGATTTTCTCTGGAAGCTCCTCATCCAACCCAGGTGACAGAAGGGGGCAAGCAAGACGAGGCCACAAAGGTAGCATGCTGGGGGAGCAGGTGAGGTGCGGCGTGACCAGCCTCAGTTGCCATGGGAAGGGGAGACTGGAAAGTGCACCTTGGAGCAATTCTCTCAAACCTGGGCCCACACTGGAGCCACCTGTAGGGCCCCAGCCCAGAGTTTCTGGTTCACTAGGTCCCAAGTGGAGCATGGGGAAGTATGTTTTGACCAGCCTGGGTGCTTACTGATGCTGTTGGCCAGGGTCCACACTTAAAGACCCACTGACGTTGAGGAAGTGATGCTTAAATTGAGCCAGGGGCTTGGGTATGGATTGGGGCAGATGGGCGAGTGGAGGCAGCAAGTTCTCAGTGGAAGTTGCAGCATGGACAGAGGTGTGGAGAGAAAGCAATTGGAGGGCACCTGGGTGGCTTAGTGGGTTAGGCTTCTGCCTTCTGCTCAGGTCATGATCCTGGGTTCCTGGGATTGAGCCCCACGTCAGGCTCTCTGCTCAGTGGGGAGCCTGCTTCCCCCTCTCTCTGCCTGCCTCTCTGCCTGCCTCTCTGCCTGCTTGTGATCTTTGTCAAATAAGCAAATAAAATCTTAAAAAAAAATTGGGGGGCACCTGGGTGGCTCAGTGGGTTAAAGCCTCTGCCTTTGGCTCGGGTCATGATCCCAGGGTCCTGGGATCGAGCCCCACGTCGGGCTCTCTGCTTGGCAGGGAGCCTGCTTCCTCTCTCTCTGCCTGCCTCTCTGCCTGCTTGTGATCTCTGTCAAATAAATAAAATCTTTAAAAAAAAAATTGGAAAACCCTCATAATCCAGTTAGAGAAATGGTGGTAAATAGGGATGGAGTGAAACGTGGAGAAAACCTTGAAATGCTGCTATGTGGTGCCATTGCCTACTCGGGAGGTAATCACGGAGGCCAAGGGGTCTGGAGCGGAAAACACCTCTAACCACAATTACATTGCTGGGAAATCTGGCAGCAGTAGTAGCCAAAACTAACCGATTAACACTACCTGCCTGGAGAGCTGTGTTGAGAAGGATTCTGAGGCTGAGAATGGACCCCGCACTGGGATTTGTGGTTTTTGCTGTGGGTAGAGAAATGGCATGGTGGTCCCCGGACTGGAGGGCACATGTTAGCAGGACAGTAGAATAGCTGGGATCAGCAGGAATCAGGAATGAATTGGAGTGGCCTGCCTTCACGCATGAGTAAGGACTTGCAGGGTAGCACAGTGGAAGCAGATGCAAAAGATATTGCTAAGGTAGAACCTGTGAGATGTGGCCACTAACTGAGTCATTAATTCGGCAAAAGTTGGTGGCCCAAAAAAAGCAGGGCTATGAGAAGATGCAAACGCTGCTCTCTGGGAACTCAGCCTCGAGGGGAAAGCAAACATGGTTACCACACAGTGGGGCTGACTGGCAGTATAACCACGGAAGGCTTCCTGGAGGGGATATCCGCCCTGAGTCCCAGAGCATCAGTGACAGTGCTTGGGTGACCTGCTGGAGTGTCGGGCAGGCCCGGGGTGTGGGTGTGGACTGGGGAAGAGGGCTCGTCCTCATGGAGGGGAGTCCGTAAGGAGCTCCACCGCCTGTTCACTGCCGGGTTGCGGACTAACAGTGAGCGGTGACAGCCAGATGGGGCCAAGTGCCAAGAGCCGGGGGTCCCTGATAAAGGCTTCGGAGCTTGTGCTGTGGCCCGGGGCATCTAAGGTCATGTGGATCACACGGCCATGCAGATGATGCTTTCCCGGGAGCACAGGCGGAGGTGGGGAGCTATTGAGAAGCCCGTGTGGTCTGGGTGCTAAGGACCTGAAGTCCAGGACAGGGGGCGTGGACGAGCAGGACTGGGTGGACGTGGGGGTGAGGAAGCGCGGGGTGACTGTGGCTTCCGGGCCGGTAGGCCAGAGGAGAGGGATGTGGTTTAACGAGGGCAAGGATGAATTCCACTTCCACGATCGTGAGTGTGAGGTGCTGTGGCATCTCCGTGCGCCAGCGGGCTGTGGGATACAAGTCTGAAACTTGGGGCTGATGTCTGTGCTATAAATACGGACTTGGGAGTCATTAGCATTAATGTGGCTTGAAATCATGCGGGGAGATGAGGTCACTGAGGAAGGAATGTCAAGAGTGCTTACAGTGGTCTGGGAACACCAGCCCGGTCAGAGTAGGCACAGGCCCAAGAGAAGTTCGCCTGCGAGGCAGGGACCGTCAGGGGGTGGGGCCTTCCTGAAACGGAGGCTTGCTCAGTAGGGGATGGAAAGATGCCTCGGACCTGTTCAGGACTTGGGGAGGGGGGGAGAGGGGGGCAGGCTACTGATCAAAACTGGGAGTCCCTAGAGAGTGCTAGCTTGAACGAGCTGGAAGAGGGGACGGGTTGGGGCTGCTGTGATTTGGGTCCCATTTACTAGGCAACTAGAATTTTAAGTTGTGGATCTAAAGGAACAGGTTGGGTTAGAGTTGGGGATTTGAGTCACTTGCTGAGAAATACTAGCTAAAACCTTGGGGAAGATGGGGACAGGATGGTAGAACTAGTAATTCTGAAGGTAGGACTTCACTGCAGGCCGTGGGGGCCCAATCTCTAGGCCCAGGGGTGCTGCCCCTGTGAACTTGGCCTCTGTTCAGGTGTGGGAGGTATTTGGGGAGTTCCTTAGCAGGAAAAAGCTGGACAAGTGGCCCGGCTAGAGGATTATTTTAGCCCCATGCCATTCCCCACCCCTGCAAAACTTGTTTATCCATTTTAATCTTGTTTCTTAATCCACATTATCTGGGGTCAGTGAAGATTCAACCAAGTAGTCTCTTTCTCCTTGGGAGTTTTCAGAGGCACTGACCAAGTCCTTGGAGCTGCAGTGTGAAAACCTTTAGGAATCTAAAACTACCTCCGTGCCTGTGGGGGGATGAATCTGGTGGCACTCATCTTTCCTGTACTTGAAGGCCTCGGATGAGAGATTGGATGCAAAATGCCGACACAGGGATGGCAGCGCTGGGACTAGTGTGGTGCTTAGATGTGGGAAGTGAGGGAGAGGTACCTGGTGTGACACCCCTGACCTTTGCTGGGCTGAGCTGGAGCTCCTGTTGTCACTGGAGGGCGGGCTGGCACTGCAAGGTACCCTGGGTAAGTGGAAGAGGCTGGGGCAGAATGGGGGGTGGGGATGAAGACGTTTCTGAAGCCCCTGGGACCCCCTTGGGGCTCCCTTTAAAAATCTCCCCACCCAGCAAGAGCTTTTCAATGAAAAGTTTATTAGAAGGGCACTTACAGGGGAAAGAGATGACACAGATCTTTAACAATAGGGGTAAAATGCTTAAACAGGTGCTCTGCTCTTAAGATACAAAAGTTAGAAAAATCTAAACCACTATAAATACGTACATGCTTTTTACAAAGGTGTTCAAAGGTCAGGCTGGCTGAGAAGTGAAGGTCACCCAACACCCTTCACACTCTGTCCCCGCCCCCCCTCCCCAGCTCCACCCCAGAGAGTCTGGAAGAGCCTCCTTGCCACAGCAGCAGGGAGGTGAGTGAAGAAGGGGAGGGAGTGGGCTCTGGCTCCATCCCTGTGGCTGGAGATCTCACTGCTCTGAAGGGATAGGGGTTGGGTTCCGAGGTCCCTTGGGGAAGAGCCTGCACCCCCCCCCTCCCATTTGTGCGTGCTGCCATGTGCTTAGCCAGTTTGGTTGCGGGGGGGCTGGTAGCTTCTGGACGCTGAGCGCTGTGCCCTCAACCAGCAGCGTTCAGAACGGGCTGGGCCCCTGACTCTTGCCCAGAGAGACCTTTCTGACTTTCTCCAAAACAATTAAATAGTTCTCTGTCTTGAATGGTTTTAAGAAATTATTACATAAATATAAAAACACCAGAATGCTAGAGTGTACATTATTTCAGCATAAAAAAATCAATTACAGAATCACTGAGAGCATTTCTCAATCCAGTTTATATGATCGGCTAGCTGTGTTTCTAGAAAGTTGCCTGGACCTCATCATGTCCCCACTGCCTGCCACCCTTCCATGAGAGACCCCTCCTCTTCGTGTCAGAGCCACAGCCTGCTGGGTATGTGTTTTGCTTTTCTACCCTCTTGAGAAGTAGTGGATACTCCTCAGGTGGATGATCTAGAAGGGAATGTTCAGGCCCCAAAAAGAAAAATGGTACAACACAGCAGTTGCGTTTTTAGTAAATTGGGGACATACTATAGATCTTGGGGCCAACTCTGCCCCTTAAAGTCACACAGAGCCCAGCATTAAACTCAGGCCCACTCTTGCTATGGGTAACCCCCCTGGGAAACCGGCCTGTGAACAGTCCCCAGATTCGTCTTCCTCAACCTTTTAAGGACAACAGAGATGGGCCTCAGGTGAGCTCTGGGCCTGGGGAAAGAATGGTATAAAGTCTCAGAGCAGCTGGGGGCCCAGGCTGAAACCCCATCTGCCTTCTCCCCAGATTACATACATGCGTGTGTGACATGAACATGCTACTTAAAGCCTTTTCCTGCAGTTTGAGTAAAAGCACTTAGCCCCGGGATAGGTCCAAACACTAGGAAGCCAAGGGAAGATGGAGGAAAAAAAAAACAAAAAAAACTAAGCACAAGATACGTGCTACAGCTCATTCCAATACATTAATGATTTTTAAAAAATCACCACGGTCAATAAAAAAATACAACACAGACAACATAAGGACAATGGGAAAGTCTGCCAGCAGCCTTGCCCTTGTGTGCGTGCGCGCTTCCTAAGAGGAGTCAGAGTCCCCGCTCCTGACTCTCAGCTTGTCTCAAAATATCAGATCGTCTGCAGCCCGCCAGGAAGGTGGCCAGCTGAGATGATGTTCCAGCACAGGCCTGTAACCCGAAGCCGCTGGGGCAGCTACCTACTGGGCTTGTGCTGGAAGGACCTAAGTTACTAAATAAAGTTGGGAAGAGGGGTGGGGGAGGAAAGGAAGAGAAGAGATGTTGGCTCCTGGGGGTGGTGCACAGCTGAGGACCTCAGGCCCCGGGCTAGCTCCTCGGGGGCTCGAGGCAGCATCAGCCCCAGAGTGAAGGCGACTGGGTGGGGAGCCCCACCCAGGACAGGACAGTTAAAACTGCCGTCCACCCCTGCCCCCGGACTACCCTATTTTTTCCTGCCCCTATCAACTGTCCTTTAAAAATTCTCTTTAACATGAAAATGCCATTCCTACAACAGGATTTTCAAACTTAAGAAAACTGCTTTGTGACTTAAAGAAAGGCCACTAATAGGACACAAGTCCCCCCCCCCCCCTACAGACCCCCCCCCCCCCCAGTACAGCTGCAGCCTCTCTGATGGGAGGGGCACCAAGTCCTCACCTCTAAGTCTGACTGAATTTCTTCTAGAGGTGGACTTACCTACATTTTCCTCTCACATCTTCCTCCAGGGGTCTAGTCTATAAAGAAGAGGGGCCAAGTAAGCTTTTGTAGAAACACAAGACTGCGACTTCACACCTCCTAAAAGTAGCCCTCGGCCCTGAGCATCAGGGGTGCCAAGACACCATCCAGGCACAGCCACCAGATCGCTCAAACCGTGCTGTATCTGAAGCGAGTCCCCAAGAAACGGGAGGATGGCTGTGTGCCACAGGAAGGCCTAGGAGGAGCAGGAGGCTGATGGAGAACGCAGGCCCTCGGAAACCGCTGTCCTGGCTTTGGGGGAGCGCACCACGGCACCAGCAGAGGCTGCAGTGGAGTGCCCACACCACAAGTCTCAGACCTGACCAGGAGCTCGCGTGCACGTCCAGGTAGGCCCAGCCGGCTTCCTGGGAGCAGCAGTCAGCAGATGGCTTCATAGCAGGTGAATTCCGGCCCCTCGGTGTCTGACCGTCTCAGGGAGAGGGCGGTTGTGTGGGGTCTCTGGGCTCTGAGTCAAAGACCAGCATTGGTCTGGAAAGGTGCTCCTCCCATCTCTTCCTGTGTCCTCGGGGAGCTTGGAGAGCAGCCCTCCTTCCTGGAAACCACACGGCTGGAGCTGCAGGGGCATTAGGATCCTGCCGGGGAGGCGCCGGGAAGCTCCCACTGTCTCCGTAAGGCATCAGAAACGGCATCACATTTGACATTTATACCCGCCAGAAGTAGACATTTTCTGCCCTTCACCTGGAATCAGATAGGACTTCCATGGGAAATCCCTTGGCTTTTCCTGGTAGAAATCCATGCAAAAAGATGGGATAAAGTCATTTCATACAAAAACAGTGACGAAGAATAAAGTCCCAGTTACAAGTGGCAATGCTGTATTCTGCAAGAGGCCAGTTGAAAAGGAGGGATTTTTTCCAGTTGAAATAATTTATACCAGTTTCCTCACTAATTGCCACTGGGAACAGTACTTCTTACACAGTATAGCTGCTGAAGTCGTCACTGATGATCCTCGGCCATGAGCCAGATAATCTTACATCCCTGGGGGGGAAGACGGCACACCTCTGTGCTCCAAGGCTCCAATTTTCCAAGGTGTAAAAAAAAAAAAAAAATTTAATAGCCCTTTTTCATTTGCCTATGTTGGCCTGAGATTTTTTTCCCTTCGGGTGCATTTGCTTCTGTTAATTTCAGTTTCCAGAAGTGCTGGCAGGTGTCTTCTCAACAAAACCTGGAAAAGCTTCACCTTGAGAGAGAGAGGTTGCCAGCCCCCCCACAATGCTGGTTTCCCCGTCAATGTGCCAACCCAGGATTTTTTTTTTAAATATAAAATAAACATTTAAACGAGCGTACGACAAAGCTCATTTAATTAATGCAACTGACTACGTAAACCAAGAGAGCCGGATGCATGAGAATAGCAAGTGAGCTCTTACAGAGGACTGCAGACCCACGGAATGGAGCGTCGCCTCTGCTCAGACCCCACTGATGCGACAGCTGCCTCCTGCCTCACGTGACCATCTCACGTGCTTCAAATCTCTGAGATTAACGCGAGAAGAGAAAATATACATTGCATAAGTGCTGAGTCTCAGCAGATCTCCCAACCGTTCCAAGTGAGAAAGGACAAATTTGAGAGGAGGGGTCTCGTCCACTTTCCCCACTGTCCGTGAGCGCATGTTCTGAGCACGCTGGCTCACCTTTCTCGGGACACTGTCAGAGGAAAGGGGACAGATGCGCTCCCCTCCCCCACCCCAAGTCAATCCGGCTCCTCGGGTGCAGGGTCTGCTGGAGTGCTGGGGCTCAGGAATGCTCAGCTGAAGCACTGGTCACAAGCGCCAGAGGGCTAGGCATGAGGTTCGCTCCTGCCCCTGCAGGCTCTGTCCCACCTAGAACACCCAAGGTGAGTTTCACACTCCAGTCCGGAACCCAGGGCCATTTCCTGTTGGACAGTGACATCCCAGATTGCTGTCATTAAATCCGAAGGGGGCTGGGAGGAGGGGGCAGGTGGTGAACTACTACCTGTTTGCTCAAGCCGCCAGAGCAGAAGCCGATTCTTGCCCTGCAAACGGGGGCCAGAGGACACACGTGTTTGGCAGACACAGCTGTTTCAGAAAATCCATCTCTGGGTTTGCTTTTGCGTTTTGGAAAACAGGTCAGTGCCGCTTTGATTGAGGGAGAAAAATTTCTTCTTCATTGACAATAGTGAGTTCCAATTTTCTCCTCCTATGCGGCCTTTTCCCCCAAAGCCCACCCTCCCCCCACCCTCCCCCTTCACACCCAGTGTCTCTAAGACACACTGGAACAGCGGATGCTTGGGGAGCCCATCTGAGTGAGGACCTTGTCAAGCCACTGCAAAGGCCCATTCAGGTGCAGCTCGATCCAGCAGGGGGTGCTGGTCACGGTTTGTCTCCTGCAAGACATAGGGAGAGGGGTGGGCTGGGAGACTTCAAAATTGTGCAGAAGCACACACATATAAGTCAGAACACCTCTTCCTGCTTTGATGAGAGTCCTCTAGCCAGAGCCAGAGATAGGCCCATGGCGCCTTCCTAGACCCTGCTCTAGAGGAGGATCCAATGACTTGCTGAGACCGCCAGGGCAAACTCCTCCAACCAGGAAGAGCCTTGAACAAATCCGGTTCTCTCGCCAGGGAAGGAAATAGCCCTTCAAGGGTTAAATGTGTGAGGCAAATTCCAGGGTATCCTACTTGTCCACCCATTTCTGTGACGGGCCCCCCTGTAAAGAACTTCCAGCCTGAGCAAAGGTCTCCCTGGGTCCCATCTGTCCTGAATGGGCAGCCTCAGCTCCAGGGCCAGGTCCAGTCCCAGCAGGCCCTGATGACGTGTGTCTGTCTGATGGAGGGGTGTTTTCTGCACAGCGCCGACAGAACCTACATGCCATCAGTTCCCAATGTGCTGATATAATTCCCATCTATGGCCTTATTTTGGAAAATCTTACAAGCAGAGCAAGCCATGGAACAATTACTGGAAAAAACCAAGGCACCCCACACGTTTCTTTTCCCCAAAGCACTTTGTCTAAATTCAGGCTGGTTGATGACGCAGCCCACAGGCGAGCTCCCAAAGGCCTCCAGTGAGCAAAGGCTATCTGCTGAGGCCGGAGGTGCTAGTGCCAGCTGGAGGTGAGAGGCCTGGGCCCGGGGCCCTCCCCGCTGTTGGCCGTCTGACAGAAGGGATGAAACCTTACTCTCTCTTTGGCCCAAGAGGCAGAAGGAGGGCAAGACTGTTCTGGGAAGGGGCCGCACCCGCCCATTAGGCAGCTCTGTGGGGCTGCCAGGTGGCAGTGACGTGGTAGGCCGCACAGGACCCCACGTGCTGGCAGCATGTCCCACATGGTGACACAGTGCTCCCAGGGAAAGGCTTCCACCACCAAGGGACCTCCTCCCAGCAATTGGGAGCTGGAGGGCCACTGTGGTGTGCAAGCTCGAGGGCTTTTAGCTCGAGGCCACTGCCCTCCTTGCTTGGCCTAGGCTGGGCCCGAGTGGAGGATTCTAGATGGGCTTGTGGACCCCATGGTGCCTCTCTGACCTGAAGTGCCTGAGTACAGTCCTCTGAGAAGTCTGGGTGTAGGAAGAGCAAAAGGACCTCTATCTGGCTCTTTTCCATTGGTGTCCAGCTAAGTAGTTCCCTTCCCCACTGAAAGAAAAATACTAACTTTGTAACCTTTCACTCTGGTCCCATAAATGATTTTAGCCAGGGCCAAAATGTGGGCTAAAATCTCTCTTGGGCTGGGCCCTCGGGCCTGGGCTCATCTCCTCAGGCCATCATAACTGGGCTGTAAGTTCTCCTGAGAGGCCTGACTACTTTCCTTACTCGGTTAGTCACTCATCCTGGATTTCACAGAGACGCCCCCCCCTCCCCAGACCAAGGTGCTGTGTTCCCTGGGCCTGTGGGGCAGACACAGGGAACAGCAGCTCAAATACGGTAAATAGGAGAGGGCTTTACGGACCAAAATCCTCTAATGAGAATCTGACTTTCCATAAGTCATGCTCATCTGGATTTCATTACAAACGGTGGCTCAGAGCCAATACTGAAATGGGTTTGGCCTGGGTGCAGAATGACTACAAAACAAAATGGATTCCAAACATCTGGAAAAATGAAGAGAAGGGGGCAGTTACTCGCAAGGCGCTGGCCCAGGCTGCCTCGCGGGCTCCTCTGTGTCTGCCACGAGAGCTGGGGGCCGGAGGGCCACAGGGCTCTGGCCCTCACACCCTCCAGTCTAGGTGTGGAAAGAAAAGGGACCAGCTTCGCCAAACCCAAACCAGATGCTCTGGGAGATTCAACAGAACAGACCAGGTAGACCTGACCAGTGCTATGTTTAAACCAGTATCTGAAATTCTGAAAAAAAAAAAAAAAAAAAAAAAAAAAAACTCCTTTCTTAGCGAGTAAACTCTGTTCCTTTTTGACTACCCAAATCTTCTCTCCTCTCATCTGCCTCTCAATTTTAATACCTGAGATCCTCAGGGTCACCTCCATCAGAGCCAGAGCCCCAGAGAAGGGCAGAACAACTCCTTGGAGAGAATTGTCCTAAAATCATCCGCCCAAAATGAACAACGAGCAAGGAGCCAAGAGGCAGAGTGCTAGGCTCAGCTTTTCCGCTAATGATGTGACTTCAGGCAAGTCACTTCCCCTCCCTGGGCCTTGGTCCCCTCATCTGTGCACCGGCGGTGGTGCCAGTGTCCCCGCCCAGGGTGATGGTGAGGAAGAGAAGAACTAGAACATACGTGTTTCTGGTGCGTGAGACACTGCCGTGCTCAGCCCTTCCTTACCCAGCGTGGCTTGGGCCCTTCCGGCCCACCGAGCCACGGCCTCTGATCCTTGGTCTCTGCTCTCTGGGGTGAGGGTGGCCTAGCTCATCTCTAAGGGGCCCCTGCTCTGCTGCTTGAGTCCTGTGCGGTCGGGCCCCCATGACAGGTGGCACCCAGACCTGACCTGTATTCCGCTCCCCAGCCCTTGACGAAGCTCATGCGGATGGTGCACATCCGGGTCAACTGGTAGACCGCCTCGAAGCCCTGGTTGACGGACTGAGCCAGGAGGGCAGCGAACTCCTGGTTGTTGAAGATCTTCAGGTTGCACCCTGCCAAGAGAACAAAAACAGTGCTTGTGGGGACAGAGGCATACGTGTCCAGTGCCCCACTCCTGGCTGAAGCCACCCCTGCGTCATCCAGAACAGCATACCTCACCCGGCTCAAGTGGCACATGGTGATTCCGTGCGTTAGCCCCATACTCCGCACTCGGCACCACGCTAGGGACAGGCCCCCTCAGTCCCTGCCCTTGAAGCCGTCCCCACCTCAGTGGCCAACACGCAGGGCTGGATTCAACACTGGCCTGTGAGCTCCAGCTCCCGGAGCCAGGGAAGGCTGAGGAAGACTGTAAAGCCAGTGACCTAACAACCTGAGGAAGGGTTTGGAGAGGTGGGCCTTGCCCTGGGCAAAAAGGCCAAGGCAGGACTCCAGGGACCAGAGACATAAGGTACCTAAGCCAGAATGCCCATGGCTGTGTGGGGCATGGCTGACCACCCAGCGAGCAGGAGCCCTTGACAGTAGGCGCAGGGGAAACAGGCCAGACGAAAGGCTCCGCAGCCTGCTGCTCCAACAGGTGGCTCCCAGAGGGTCCCAGGGTACCTTCTACCTGGGCTTCCCTGCTGAATCCACCCAGGACCAGGAAGGAGCAAGAGACTCAGGCCACAGTTTGGCCTTGGGGCACATGGCTGGGTCAGGGTGACATTCGCAGCAAAGTGAAGGTGTGTGTCTAACTCCCCAGGCAGTAAAACCCGAGCCAGGCCCAAATAAAGTTTATAATCTCCTGAAGTTGTACTGCCTGAATGCCTGAATATGTCAATCAGAAAAATAACAACAGCACATGCTAGAAATACCCAACAGGTGAGCTAAGGTGACATTTATTAACAGGCCAACACCGGACTCCTAATCTTGCTGTGTGACTCTGGGCCGGTCACTTTCTCTTCATAAGCCTGGGTCTCCTTTGTAAAATGGGAGGCTGGCCTCGGGGGTCCTCCTAGCTCCTTTGGTCTATGATAACAAACCCCACCAGGGCCAAGTCAGCCCTCCCCAGAAAGGTGTGGGATGGCTGGGGAAGGGAGTAGCCACAAGGCCAGGAATACAACTGAGCTTCCAGTTTTCTTTTTCTCCAAGGGGAAGTCTGATGACACGGGACAGCAGGTGGGGTCCGACTCCCAGCCAAGCCAAGAAGCAGAGGGACCACTGGACTCCACGGTCCCACCGTCCTAGGCTCATCCCAGCTCAGCCACTCCCCAGCCGTGTGCCTCGGGGCAGGTGGCTTACCCTCTCTGAACTTGTCTCCTCACATGAGGAGCCAGGATAATGGGAGAAGACTGTGTGAGAGCAAAGCTAGAGATGTCCTCTGGAGACACAACTACACAATGCGCAGGAAATGGCCAGCGCTGTTCTTTCAGACCTTCTGCATTCTTAAGCTGACCCTGCGCAAAGCTCATCACTCTGCTATCATCTGCTACCAGGAGGAGGAAACACATGCCACACCCAGTACCAGCCCTATCACAGCCCACACTCTGCCAGCAGCACGGCCCGGGGCTGCGTGCCTGTGAGAAGCGGGCTCTGGCGGGGCTCTCGGCCTGGGTTTTCTAGGTCCGGAGGCCCAGATGGGGTCTGTCTCTGCCTGTGTTGCTGCATAGCTGTGGCCCTATTCAAGCCCCCCTCTGGAGTGCAGCCTGTAGCCATTTCTTGGAATACAGGTGGGATTCATCAGTTCTACTCAGAAAACCTGCAAGAGCTCCCCAGAATCAAAGCAGAACTTTCTTGCATCCTTCTGGGGCCTGGTCCCATCATGCCTTCTAAACATTTCCTGCTTCTTATATGGCCTCTCCAGCCAGAGCTCCACCCGCATGCGCCCTACTCTCCATCACCCCCGGGGCCTTGGCCCATAATGTACCCTCGAGGTCCCCACCCCAACCGTCACTCTGTGCCGAATGCCAGCCAGCCCTCAATGCCTGTGCACTGCCTTCAGGAAGCCTTCCCTGATCCATCCCAACACTTAAATGAGTTTTTCTCCCTGGATCCAAGAGCACCTTATCTCTGCTGCTTCCTTGGTGATTAGTACCCTTCCTTGTATTAAGCCCATTTGTGTCTTTGTCTCATACACTCAGCCCGTCTGTAAGGTCTGTGGGGACAGCGGCAGGACCTCCCGGACCCCTCCGTCTCCCGCAAGCGCCCGGCACGGCGCCCGCGCGCCGCTCAAGCTTGCGCCGTGAAGGACGAAAGCCTGATGCCTGTGCAAGTGGCCGCGGGTCAAAGGCAGAGCCGTCAGCGGCTGCGTCGGCTCCCAGGAGGGTCAGGGGGAGCGCGGTCGGCCAGTAAGACACAGACAAAACCCCTATGAAGCCCCTCCAGGCTGGCAGTACAAACGCAGAAGAGGAGAAAAGGTAAGGACGGAGAAAGCCCCGGCATCTCGGAAGCACCACGGGGCAGGGCTGTGAGAGCTCATACCCGGCGGGATCTTGCAGACGGTGGCCGGGTGCCAGCCGTAGCGCTGGTTACAGTTGGGCGACTGGACGAAGATGGCGCTGTCGCTGAGGCACTCTGCGAAGACCTCCCCTCCGATGTAGTACAGCCGCACGCCTCGCCCTGGAGAGATGGGGGTCAGACTGGACTGGGGTGGGGCTGGCCCCAGGGCCAGCCGAGGCATGCCAAGGGGCCCAAGCTGCAGCCCGCGCTCCGAGTGACTGCTTCCCCGCCAGCCTCACCGGACAAACAGGACCCAGAGCCCAAGCTTAAACCCGCAGGGGGTGTGGGGGTGACACCGGGTCCCTGAATGCGGGGCGGCCAGTGACGCAGGGAAGGGGCATGGGCTAAGCCTGCATGACGGCCTTGGCCACAGACAAGCCATGGGCCAACATCAAGTTCCTCCGCCTCTGAGCGTCTGTCTCTTCGGAAGATGGGCGACACTCACACGCACCTCACAGGGCGGCCGAGCCCCACACAGCGCCCACTGAGTGGGAGCTACAACAGAAACTCATTCAGCAGACATCCCAGGGGCCCTTCATGACAGGGATGGCTTCATGCCACCCCCGTACCTTCTCCCCTCTGTGCATTTTTCTAAAACATTCCATAGGTTTCTGTCATTCACTTTTCCTCCATCTCTTAAATCCATTCCAGATGGACAGAAATTATTTTTAAGTTGGCTCTGCAAGCCGAGCAAGCAGTTACGTAAACACGCTGACATGAGTGCTGCTCTCAGCCCGGGGAGGCTCTCTTCCGCACGGGACGGCCTCTGTTGCCGCTTCTGGGGAAGAGGCCCAGAGGGCTGGAGACGGAGCCAGATTCTACAGGCACGAGGTCAAGTGGGACAGAAACTAGGGGGCCGCTGGGAGTTCTGCCTCCTCGTCCCATGATGGCCCCAGAGCCCCTTTCTCCTTAGTTTGGCACGACACACGAGGGGTGTGGGGGGACTCGGGGTCCACAAAGAGGGGCCGCTGGATTGTCTGTCAAGAGCAGAGGCAGAGATGGAAAGACCCCGACAAAAAGAACAAAAATGTGTTTTGTTTTGGTAGTTTCTGAACCACTATTTTTAAAATATAGAAAAGCATAAGGAAAATAAGTAAACACCTATGGATGCCACTCAGGACCCATCTTTTTTAACGTAAAACAAATATGGATGCTGTCTGGTAAGGCTGAGGGCTCAGTGGCAGGGGGCTGCTTGTCACCAACTAGGTCACACTCACGGTGTGGCCTCAGCAAGGCTCTGCTCTCCCGTGGGCATCAGTTGTTCCCCTGGAGAACGAGAACCCAGGCCCAGACCCATGGCTTCCCATTTCATCTTTTAACCATAAAATCCTCTCTTCAAATGAAATTTTCCGTGAAAACTCAAGATATGATATGGACAAGATCAAGGGTGCTCTGGTGCACTTAGGACCAGACCCGCTGGTGCCCTGCCCAGCTCCGGGGTTTGCCCTGGAGCTCAGGGGCTCTGGACTGCCCATACCCTATTATACCATCTCCAGGGTCTTCTGAGGGACTCAGGATCCCCAAACTATGAATATCCAGGTGACACACACACAGCTCCCTCTTCCATAAACAAAGTGGTCTCTTAAGTATGTTCTGGGTATTAGAAGGTTGTGGCAGCCTATATGAAATTAATAAAAGATCACTCTGGAAACTACCTACCTCTCCACCTAGCAGTCAGTCCTTTAGGGGTATGTTTATTAAGATAATCACACATATTGCCCTTTTCATAGATTTGCCATTTTTATCCCCTCAAGTGAGTGTTTTCGTCCTTGGGTTTCCCCTCTTCAGACTTAATCTGTGTTTTCGAACGGGAGTGACCAAGCAATGTGAACTTTTCTGGCCTAGCCCCTAAATAGGGCAATACAGAGTTCGGGGGCTGGCTGGGGAAGTGGGTCCTTTCCCCAGGTCCCAGCAGAAGGTACAGCACAGTGGAGGGGGGAGGGGGGTTAGGAGGGGCAGGTGGGTTCTGGGCCCAGGCTGCTTAGCCGCTGGGGGTGGGGAGGGGGGGTGGATGAGGTGCCCTTACCGATGTGCCTCCGCGTGAGCTCCACGGCCGCGTTCCTGTTGACATTGGAGAGCAGCCCCAAGCAGAAGCGCTCCGAGTTGGAGGGGTCGGTGAAGCCATCCACGGTCATGGAAGGCTGCGAGGCGTGGAATGTTTCCCCAACGCGCTGGTTCAGTTCATAGTAGGAGATGGAGCACCAGAAGGCCGGCTCGCAGTAGGTGACAGGCTGCAGGTCTGGGGAGACAAGCCAGGCTACTGGGTCAGGGGCCCCCAGTTCGCCTGCTCCCCAGCGAGCTCCCCTGGCTGCTCCGCAAGGCTATTTCTGTACCTCTCCGAGGGTGTTACAATCCCCAGACCTCGTGCCTTGTTCTACCGAAGCCTGCGGGATCCAATGTGATAAAGTACTCTAGCGTTTGGAAAAGGGCTTCTCCACTTGCCTTGCCGCTTTCATTTAGTCTTAGCTCATAAAGGGCCCCGTCCTGCCTGGCTGGCCTTGGGTTCGTGCTGTCTTCAAGGAGGGCCAGGCATCACCCAGCACCTGGGCAAGCCTGCTGAACAGGCCCGGCAGGTTCCCCAGGGGTGGCCATGCCACCCACATGGCCACCTCCTGGCCTGTTGGCCTCCAGAGGGGCTTTCAGCTTTCGGCTCTGCCTGGTCTCAGGCACTCCGAGCCTGTAAGATGACAAGGCTGGCAAAGCCCAGGCTGTGGGGGGGCCCACAGGGCGCTGGGCCTCCGACCACATGCGCATGGTCCACAGAGTGAACCCACAGCTATTATAGAAATGATCTTCCAAATGTCTCCATGTGCTGTCTGTCAGGATGGCTAAGACACAAAGCCACCTAAAAGAAATTCTCCATTTGTCCTGTGGTCTCAACCAAGGGCTCCTCAAAGCAAAACTGCCATCTTGGGAGACACCAGTTCTCTTTCTAATAAGAGTTGGGAACCCTGAAATAGAGGTTCCCCGTTACACAATCCCCCCATCATCTTTCCTGGAACTCCCTCACCTTCCTGTCACCTCCGGCCACCCTAGTCCACACCTGTCCGGGCCCCTGGCCCTCCTCCCTGCACCATCTCTAACACCCCATTGGGTCCATGATTGGCCCTGGGCCAGGCCCCCGTCCTTCCTCCCTGCCATCAGTGCTGCAGCATCGTAACAGGACTCCCCAACACTCCGGTCCAGCCTCCCTGCCCCACACGGCCCCAACATGGGGTGGAGTATCATCCTGACCCCCCTCACTGCCTATGTGAATCCACCTCCCTCTTGGAGAACCAAGGAGGCCCTGCCCCTTCTCACTTCTCCGTCTTAGACCTCCAGCCTGATATTAAATATATTTGGAGTCCCCTGAGTACTTAGGGTGCATCTGCGGGATCGGGTACAAGGGAGAGGAAAGGCTCACCGTGCCAGCGCTGAGCCCTGGCCAGAGACCCCAGCTCAATGCCTGGAGTGAGAACCCACGGGGAAATCTGCTCACCAGGCCTTTGGAAATGTGTGAAGCACAAGAGGAAAAAAAAAAAAATCAGAAACTGTTCTGGGAGGGGCCTGCAGGGCCGAGGGCCCAGATCTACTTGTGGGGTCTGTGCCTACGATCCCTTCTCAGGGGAAGGAGAACACCTACCCCGTGTGTGAGAAGATGCAGATCGGTAACATTCCTGCACTGAGCACAGGCCCAGAAAGTGTCCGTGGGAGGGCTGGGACACCTAGATCAGCCTCTTCGCCCCAGCATCATCAACATCTTGGGCCAAATAATCCTTGGACTGGGCGGGGCGGGGGGGAGCCCCGTCTGTTATAGGCTGTGTAGCAGCACCCACTAAATGCCAGTGGCACACATCCATCACCCCCACCCCAGCCGGGACAAGGAAAAACAGCTCCAGACACTGCCAGCTGTCTTTGAAGGGGCAGAAGAGCCCCTGCGTGGAGACCACGGCCTTCCAGATTTAGCTAGGTTATGGAGCCCAGGCTTTACCGCCAGGCGGCCCAGAACGCACTCGGCACTCCACACGGATCGGCTGTGTGACTGTGAGCAAACCAAACCAGCTCTGAGGGTTTCAGCTTGACACGTGGCTCTCCACAGCCACGGACGGGCGGCCCTCTTCACCAACGCCACCCAGTCTGCGGACCGACTGGGAGAAATCCCAAAAGCGCGGGGCACGCATCAAGCATTCCATACGTGGTGCTGACGATTAGAACTGAGGATGTAAGAGAACCTGAGTACGTCCTGCTCCTGCCCCGGCCTCCACTGTGGGGAAGCAAAACATCCTTGGCCCTCTCCTCTCTTCCCAGGGAAGATGAGAGACTGTAGGGGCTACTTTTAATGGGGGAGGGGAGGAGTGATGGGGCAGGGGCGACCGTGGCTTGTGGCCTGGGCCCTGGAGGTCGGGTTGAGCCACATGGGCCCCATCCGGCTCTGGTGTCACTCCACGCTCCGACATTCCAATGAGATAAGCTGTATTTTAAACAATGTGGTCACTAAAATGTGAGCTATGTTGCTTTGGCGACCTTAAAAAAAAAACAAAAACAAAAAAACCCCCAAGAAATCCAAGTATAATCCAGGCACTCAAAAGGGTCGGACAACGCGTCGGAGGCAAGAAGTCCTGAGTAGGGGCTGCCGACCACCACTGCCCAGGGGCTGGCTCTGCTGGCCTTGCTTTGTGAGCTCTCCCGGCCCGGACAGCCACTGCAACTTTCCTGGAAGACGCCTAGTGCAGACCATCCAGGTCACTGTGCATCTGGCAGGGGTCAGCCTGGAGAGGCAGCTGGGGCTGCTCTGCACTGGCCTTGGCGTCCCCAGCAAAGTACAGAACAGAGTCCTCACCCCAAATCATAAAGCCTTCCAGGACCCCCTGGGTTTAGTGCAGACAGGAGAGAGAGAGAGCTTGGCTCCCAGGAAGCCTGGCACAGCCTACCCATCAAAAGAAGAAAAGCCACAGGCCACCCACTGGGTAGCATGGTGCCGGAACCACTCAGGGGAAATGTGGGCTTTGAGGCATCTCAGAACCAGAGACAGGCTTGGGGTCCTGGCCCAAGAGGCCCCCCAAGCAGATCTGAGCCCTTATCTAAACATCCCTGCAACTTACAGACACACACTGGACAATGTGGTGGAAAACGCTGGACTCGGGAGCCTGACACATAATTAAAGAGATGCTAGTTTGAGGAGTTAGGGGTGTGGGGGAGGGCAGGGCAGTCAGGCCAAGGCCAAGTCTGAAGGGTACCATTTTCCTGAGTGCTGTTCGGATGAGCTGGCCTGTGTTTGGAAGCAGGACTGAGCTGGGGCAGTGCCCCCAGCCATGTAGTCACAAGTCTCCAGAAACACCTAAGACCCAGCCGTGCCTTTCACCTCTGCCCCTCCCGGCACCTCTCAGCTGCCCCTCCTCAAGGAACCTCTGCAAAGGGAGCTGCAGACCAAAACGTATGGTCGCCACCTCCGGGTTCTCCCTTGAACGGCAACTTATTCTTAAACAGCACATGTATCCTCATTTTTATTTCCTCATTTGTACCCAAAGATTTATCCACATCATGGTTAAGTACAAAAAAAATGTAAAGTCAGGATGCTGGAAATGAGAACATTATAAACAGTAAAATCATGGGTTATAGTTACTGAGAGAGCACTCAGCTTGGCTCTGAGCTCCCTAGCAGACAAGGCAAAAAGGGAACATCACATGCTACGTGTCTCTGGTTGTATACAGACAATGCTGAGAAGTTCTGCAGGGGAATCAAAGCTTGCCCTGGCCCTAAGTCTCCAAAGAAATCTTTAAGAAATCAGGTGGCAACCTGAATCTCCTCCCACATCCATCAAGCCAGCCAGCCTGAATTCCAAGAGTCTTCCAACAAATGCAGAGGCCATTTTGCATAAGATCGCTCCTTGCAAAGGACCTGAAGACATGCCACACAGAGGCTCCTGTGAGAGGATGACTCTCCCAGGGCTAAGGGCACTTGCCTCCCTGACAGTAGTTTTGCATCTCAAGGCCACGACTCGGCACACCTAGCATGCTCTAGCATGGTGTGTGCCCAAGGCTGCCCCTGCACACGGCCCTGCTCCCGGGCAGACTGCTGTGTCTGGGCTCATCGCTCTTCCTAGAGCAGAGGTGTTGGAGCGGCAGGAACCTCCCGCTCCCACCGCTCTCCGCCCCCTGCCCCCACCAGCATGGTATCAGCCAGACTTCTCGAGGGGCGTGGGGCACTTCATTCACAGCTGGCTCCCCACCAGCCTGACGGCGCTGGCTGGCTCCGCTTTTAAGCCCTATTCCAAGCTGGCATAGACTTTCTGTTTTGTTTAAGGAAAAGAAAACAGAATAAAACCCAGAAGGCAACGCTTGGATTAAGGGACGCCTATTAAAAACATGTGCAAGAGATCTAAATCCGGTAAAGGAAAAGGAGTGGGGGATGGCAGGGGGAAATTAACTTTCTATGATGAATCAAAAGCTAGGAGTGGGCAAAGCACCAGAGTCACAAAGGGTAAAGGTCAGAATGTGAACAAACTGCCTGGGCCCTCCTCCCCTGTGGAAGGCAGTGTGACCTCCCGCCCTGGAGATGCCACTACGCTCTAGTCCCCAGGCACCCCCACGGTCCTAGCTCAGTCCCTGCCGTCCCTGCTGCCTGGGCTGCCCACCCCTCATCGACCCAAGCTCAACCATTCAGCCCTGGCTCACAAGGCTCTGGAACATTCCCTCACCACTCTGTGCGTCAGAGCCACTTGTGTCCCCCAAGGTTAGTTCCCTCAGGCCCAGGATGGCGGGCTCCCCACACCTGGGGCTCCAGTTCCAACCTAGCTCCTTAAGGGGGAGGACAACAAAACGAGGTGTGCACGGACAGCAGCCCCCTGCTCTTCCAGCTAGGACCAGTTTGCTGCAGCCATAGACCAGCGGCTGCCTTGCTGTCATCAAGACGCCTGGAATTTCTTTAGCTTGAGGAGATCAGAGCCTGAGGAGACCATAGCAAGAGCTCTATGTGGCAGCGGGAAGACACCTGGAACCAGGCAGGCTGTCACCTGGACCACGGCCTCTTTCAGGGAGGAGCTCTCCTCAGAGCTTCCACGAGAGGCGCTCTGGGAACTGTCACCTGGTCCAGCTCCAGTGTAGCCGCTATCCCGGAGGTGCTCCCTGGTACCTCTTCTCCATCAGTCAAGACCCCTTCCCAAATGTCTCCCTTTAAAGCAAGAACCACTTACTCACCGGCAGGGTCTAGCTCCTTATCTTTTTCCTCTTCCCACTTCCCTTCTCCTTCCCCTCCATTCGGCCCAATCCTTGACTTCAGGGCTCAGGAAAGCCCAGGTGACTCATGGCGCATGATGTGGAAGCACAGGCTCGTCACCTGCTCACATCCCTTCCCTGCAAGACGGAACTGCCGGGTCTCCCCAGAGCCTGCCTCTGACAAGGAGCTGAGCTGGCGGGCAGTCACTCATCTGGGCCCCGCCCCCAGTCACCAGGAGTGGCCTCGCTGTGGCAGGAGCCTCAGTCTCTTGCCCGGAGTGGGAAAGAAATGAGGAACAAGCCAGATGTCCTCTGTTTCCTCTCTTCCCACATAATTGCTTTGCAGGAAATAGTCCAATGTCCTGAGATGTCCCCATCCTTCCCTACTGTCATCTTGCCTTTTACTTGCCCTGCCCATACGACCTCAGCCCCCACCTTTCCTCGCAGGTGCTCCGAGGGTGCACTTAAACTCCCGACGTCACCTCAAGGCTTCTCCTTCCCACGCTCACTGGCCTCCCACCGCTCTGGCTGCCGGACCCAGCCCTCCCCTGACCCTCAGCCTCTTCCCCAACCTCCTCCCTCCCAGGGCACCCCATCAGTCCCTCTCTAGCCTTCCGTCCTCCTCGAGCTGGGTTTCCCTCTCCCAATTCATCCACTCCCAGGACTTCAGCCCGATCTCTGTCAGAGTTTCCAGGGTGAGATCCTACAGATGGTTGACAGATTATGAGAGCGAAGTGTTTCGGCAATGCTCAGATGCGGAGGTGAAAGGCTCCAACCAACGGGCCTCCCTTCCACAGGGCTGCTCAGAGGCCTTCCCACGTGAGTGCCCTGGGTGCCCAGGGCGGGGGGGGGGGGGGTTGTGGGATGGGGGGCTTACGGCACAGGTTTCCAAACTCCGGTGATGACAAAACCCTGTCTCCCTGACCCCACTTTGGGAAAGGCTGCCCACAGGCTAATGGCTTCCAAAGTCAGCAGGGCCAGCCCCGGCGTCTCTCCGGACAGCTTGGTTGTGTCCTGGACACGGTTAGACATCGGCCATTCATTGCCACCTTCCCGCCCAAGCCCATCCTGGCTCCTGGACATCCTGCCTCACCAGCTTCCCAGTTAAAGTTGGTCAATAATTGCCTGCTGATTCAGGCCCGAGGCCTCTCTCAGTGACCCTCCCAGCCCCGCCGCCATCGCTCCAAAGCGTTCATCTTGGTCTCCTTCAGTTTAACAGCTTTCTAAGGGCAGGTTTTTCTTTTTAAATCTGGGGGGTGCTGGGGTTTGGCCACCAGCCATTTCCTCTAGAGTTTAACTTCTATACAGTGGCCAGGTTAATCTTTATGAGGCTGTCATCTGATAAGCAATCACCCTTCCCCCAGTGACTTCATTCGTAGGCAAGAAGGGAACCACTGAGTGTGGCATTCAAGGCTCTTTGCTCAGTGCCCCCACTGCATCACCAGCCTCATCTGCCCCTCTCATCCCAGCCAACCACAACAGTGGCTGTCCTCTGAGCTCCCCCTCCCCTTTCATGCCCTTCCCTCTACCCGCGATGTCCTTCCCTCCTTCTCTGCCTCCCAGCGTCGCACCTGTCCTTCCGGGGCCAGCTCATACCTGTCACCATGACTCTGAGGTCTTCCTACCTGATCTGGCACTTTCCTCCTTGGCCTACACAGTTCCCCTTCTGCCTACTCCCTTGAGGTCTGGCACAATGCCTCACGGGGGGACAGAGACCCCTCCCACCACTCCCATCAGATTGTGAATGCCCACATGGACTCCCAGTATCTGCACATACTGGGAACACAGCAGACCTGACTGAATGAATTCCACAGGGACACAGGCCAGCATGGGGGCAGGTCCACACCGGGACACCATCACTGCCTCCTTTGGACCCTCTGGCTATTTCAACTGCACCTACTTCTCATTTCAGAATTACATTTACTCCTGCCTTATTGATTCCCCACAAGGCCACAGTATCTTGATGGCAGGGTCTGTGAGTCCTCCTTGAACCCCCCGCCCCACCTGGACTGGCAGGAAGTTCCTGGGGCATCAACGAGGAAGGAAGAGAAAGGCTGGTGGGCAGGGCTCCCACCCCGGCTCCTAAACCCGAGACCCGCCCTCAACGCCAATAAGTGCCCTGCTAGAGCTTTGTCCCGAGGAGGAGGTGAGGACGGGGGAGCTGGTCTAAACAACGCAGTGAGACCGTGTCCTGCTGCAGACAGAAGCACGTGCTCTGAATCCCAAAGGCCTGAGTTCGAAGCTTCTCCATTTACTTGGCAGGAGTGAGGTGACCAGCCTGCTCCTTGGCTTCCTAATCAGGCAAGTGAAGAATCATAGTACTGCCGTCATGTGCGGTGGTTATGAACCCTGGGTTAACGTGCATGAAGCGCTCCAACCACTAAGTTGTCAAGAAATGTTTGCCATCATCATCACCTTCATCCTTCCCTTCCAGAGAGGATGCCTGGAGTCCGTGAGATTTTCTGGGTGGGGACGAAGCCAAGAGTTTTGAAAAGGTGAAGGTGGGGGGGGGTGGTTCTGGGGCCCCACAAGTGGACAGGAAACACTGATGTCTCACCACGAGTCCTGCCCCTGACTCATGAGCTGACTCGTCCCCCCCCATGCAGGTGTTCCCAGCACACCGGCACCCACTCTCCCTCCACCCGGCCTGGGGGCTATTCCAGCCTTTGGAGAAATGACTGAAGCATTCTCAGCCCTCACCCCAGGGGCCTGAGGAATGGGGCAGCAGAGAGGGAGAACTGAGTCCGTGGGACACCCCTGCCCCAGGTCCAAGTTCAAAAACCATCCTGTCATCCTGGTCTACCCAAACCAGAAGGAAATTCCCAGCAAGCTACCACCTGGGACAGCTTTCATTCTGAACCACTGAAGCAGCACAGCTTCCGAGGCAAGGGCCTGCCTCAGGGTCTGCGGACTCACGGGGCTGCCTTGGCCAAGGGCCAGGGGAGTAGAACGGACCCCAAATGAAATTTAAACCAGCTAACCTCCAAAGCTGGAAACTCAGAGTCGAGTTCAAGATCCTGGCCTTTAATTTCTCAAGTGTTAACACAGCTTCTAGCCTTCAGAGTTTGTTTTTAATAACTCAATCGGTCCTTTCACATCAGGAATGTGACCTTCCCTCTGCAAAGCCCAACACTCACAGTGATATTATTTTACAAAGATGTTAGAACAGATTCGCCCAAAGTCCCATTTCACACTGCCCACTTGTCAGCCTCTATGAAAGGGTTTCAGGCATCTCCCGAGGTTCTAAATGCTTTTCTTCATCTGATGCTATCAGTCAAGGCCTGGAAACAACTAGGAATAAAAGCCAAACCAACCTCCACCCCATTCACGGAACTTGGATATTAACTCTTTCTTTTCCCGAGCCATAAACCAAACCCCAGCAGTCAAGGCCCAAACGAAATCAAACTCACATTTTCCCAAAACTACCAGACCAGCACATTAAAAAAAAACAGCCCCCAATAAAGACAGAGTGGAAGTTCCATTTGCCTTGAGCCTTTCAGCAGGCCCCACTCAGGAGCGGAGGGGCGCTCCTGGAGCCCAGAAGCCGCCCTCCCACAGAAATCATGGTCCACCTGCTCTAAAACATCAGGAGACAAGGCAAGAGGAGAGAGGGGGCATCTAAATACGGAAATGCCTTTACAAAGGAAGAAGAAGAAAAAAAAATGGGTGGACAACTGTGGTCACCGCTGTTGAGGCACTAATACAGACCCCTGATCCACAAACGTCAGAAGGACCATAACAAAACAAGAACAGTGTGGGAGGGTGAGGGGATGAGGGGCAACTGTGCTCACCCTTCCCACACCCCCAATTTCCTTATATCTTGCTATTTCAAATAAAAGGCACATGGGCCGCCTGGGTTGCTAAGCCAGTTGAGGATCTGCCTTCGGCTCTGGTCATGATCCCAGGGTCCTGGGATCGAGCCCCACATCAGGCTCTCTGCTCAGTGGGGGAGTCTGCTTCTCCCTCTGCCACCCCCCCACCCTGCTTGTGTTTTCTGTCTCTTTTCTGACAAATAAGTAAATACTCTTTTAAACACTAAGCTTTAAAAAAAAATAAAACTAAAAAGTACATAATTATAAGATGAAATACTAGGATAAAACCCTAAGTCTCTCTTGAAACCAGTCAACAGAAGTCAGGGGGCCAGAGTCCACACAGCCGTCCGTGGCTTTGCATCAAACCACACACGAGTGCTTGGCTGACCACAGCTTCTCGGCTCCTGAGCACAAGGTTTGGGGGATTTTCATTCACTCACGTCTGACAGCCACTCAGGGGAAATACAAACCCAGCACATGGTCACCTTTTTCCTGCCACCACTGCTCTCAGGTTACTCTGTTCCATGGGTGACCCCAGAATCACTGTAACCAAAAACCTGATGGGCTGAGCTCAGCTGATGGTGGGGGTGGGGTGGGGGTGGGGAAGAGAGCCTCACGCTCAGGGCCCCCTCCCCACACCGGCCACCAGCCAGGGCTGCTGCTAGACAGGGAGATACTTACCCAAATTATTGTGCGCTGGGGACATCGGATTCGGGGATAGGTTTGGAGAACCTGCGAGGTGAGACACAGTTGTGAGAACTAATAGAACATTCTTGACTTGGAGAGCTGGATTACTGAACGCCAGCTCAACCCAGTTCCTGGGTCCCAGTCTTTGCCTGCGGCACAGATGGATAATCAGATAACCTCAGAGTATAAGCCGGAGACCCCACCCACGGGCCGGGGGTCCCTGAAGCCCAATGTCCACCTCTGACAGACGATGGGCGCCCCCAACAGGGTCCCGCGGGTACCCTGATTGCGGGGAGAGGAGGAAAGAGGAGCAGACAGACAATGGGGCAGAAAGGAGGGCAGGGAGGGGCCGAGAAACGAGAGCTGAGGGGGAAAGGGGCAGGCTGCTCATTCGGTGCCCGGACCCCCTTCTTCGGCCCGTTTTGACAACCGCACAGGAAGAAGAGCAAGGAGGGGAGAGAAAGGAGCGAGGAGCCGCTGCTCAGCCAACGCCCCCCCGCCAGCACCTCAGCTGCGAGCTTGCAGTGGCCGCTCTGCACCAAGTACAGGCGGCCTTCGGCGCATTCCAGCCGGGGCCGCGCCGCCCGCCACTCGAGGGGTGTGTGCCACCCACCACGTGCCACGATGCCCAGGCTAGGTAGCCGGCAACTAGGTTCATGGCGAATGGGCACGTCTCCTTCCTGCTTCTTGGAATCGCACACCCTCCCCTGGGCCGCATGCGAGGGCAGCCAGCTCTGTCTCCCACCATGGCTCTGTGTGGCCCCCGCATGCCCGCTCTTGTCGGGACGGACATCCGCTCGGCTCCTGCTCCTCCTCACCCCACCACACACCCAGCGAGACCGCAGTCTATGTGGCTGGCAGGTGGGCTTTGGTTCCGGGAGCCAATTTGGTCCCATAACAAATGACGCAGGACATCTGGAGACAGAGGGGCTGGGTCCCTCTTGACAGGAACACCTCAATCACGTTTGGTCACTACACGCAGATCCCCCAGCAAAGACCCTGCCTCTGTGTGGGTTCTCCCGATCTTGGGTGATGGAGCCCACCTCCGCCAGTGGACTACCAGCAACACCTCAGGGCAGGGCAGGCAGGGGGGGAGGGGGGACTCTGCCTACAGCCCAAGGGGACTCCTGCCCACTCCCAAACCCCGAATGACTGTCCTCCCGCCTCTCCCCACTCTCCAGCCACACTGAGCTCTCCTCGTCCCAGGAAGGCACAAGGCTGTCCTGCCCATGTGCCCCAGGACTCTGCCTGGCATACCCTTTGACTGCCCCGACGACTTGGCCAACACTTGCCCAGGTCTAAGACTCAACTCAAGAGACACCTACACTGGGGCGCCTGGGTGGCTCAGTGGGTTAAGCCTCTGCCTTCAGCTCAGGTCATGATCTCAGGGTCCTGGGATCAAGCCCCGCATCGGGCTCTCTGCTCAGCAGGGAACCTGCTTCCCCCTCTCAGCCTGCCTCTCTGCCTATCTGTGATCTCTCTCTGTCAAATAAATAAATAAAATCTTTAAAAAATAGAGAGAGAGAGACCTACACTGTGAGGCACTGCTCTGCCCCCAGGGCCTCCCTACTTGCGCCCCACGCCCTAGGGGCACAAGGCAGATCAATGCCCGCTGTCTCCCTCTCAGGCTGGGAGCAGCTCAGACTCACTCCTCTATCCCCAGCACCCGGCACACAGAGGTTGCTCTGTAAATGCCTGAGAGAGGGCTGGAGGGATAGAGGGATGGAGGAGAGACACGCACTCAGACAGGATTAAGACTGACCTGCATCCATGCTGTGGTTCATCTGGTGGTCACTGGTCTCTCCATCTTCACTCAGGTAGCCAGGGGGTGGGGTTTCTGGGAATCAGAAGGAAGGCGGTTCATTAAACGGCCTCCAGTGTTTGGCTTGGAGAACCCTGCTACACACATCACACAGTCACGCTACTCTGCCCAAGGCAGGTGCTGCAGGAACTCAGCCCCGGGGGCAAGGTCACCGTCTCCTGGATCCTGTGATCATCACACCCATCGACCCCTGGCTCCTCATCTGGATGGGGACCACCTCTGTTCACGCAGCCCTGACTCCCTAGACTGACATGCTTGTTCCGAGAGCCTCTACCAGACTAAGTGCTCCCCATCCTGGAAGGTCAGGTGTAAGCCCACCCCTCCAAGGAGGCAGTGGACTTGCCTCAGTCTTGCCCATCTCTGTCCTCCCAAGGGCAACCGTCTCATGGTGCCCGTTGGCTCTGCTGTCTACTCCTGCAGGGACACCTTGGTCTTTGTCGTCCCTCTAGATGCGGTCCTGGCCTCCCTGGGTGGCCGCAAGTTCACTGACAGCAATGACTGTGATCTAGTTCTCTGACCCTGGACGGTGACTGAGCTCTCTAAGGTTTGCTCAGTGAACACAGTGACCTACCGCCAGGGACCAGCGCCACCTGTGAAGGACCTGGAAAGGCTGGGTCTGTAAAGGGGTCTCTTGGAACGCTCTGCCCCAGCGCACAGGCCTGTGGTCAACCTCAGCACTGCGCTAACTCACTCAGGGTGAGAGGCTCCCTCCAACCAGAGCGCTCTGGCTCTCGGAAAAGCAGGCGGTAGGATTCCTGCCACTGAGACCAGCCCAAGCACCGACAAGCAGTTTTCCTGGACGCCCCAGGGCTGGTGATTCACACCTTATTTGCATGTAAATGAGGGGCTTCTAAAAACATTTGCACTCTGACAGCTGAGCCCACTTTCTCCCCGCTCACAGTAAAAACTCCCGCGGGACTCCAGCGGGCAGCAGCTCCCGCCCAGGCTGCAGTCCCCCCACCAAGCTTACTTACTTAGGGCCCCGGTTCTCCGCACTGGCCGCCCGGCCCTCGGTTCCCCCACGGCTCTGCAGGCCCCCAGACCGTCAGGGGATCCTGCCCAAACTCCAGCCTCGGCCGCGAGGGCGGTGAGAGAAACACAACGTTGCTATTTCCGCTTCCAAAATAAATGACTGCACCGAGCCCGGGCGGAAGGGTCACGCCGCCGCTCCTCCGTGCCAAGAAAAGCATCATTAGTGAGCGGGGAGCCAAGGCCACGGGTCCTCTCCCAATGGGTGTGCGGTTCTGAGTCAGGGGCCCTTGGGCCAGCGCTGTGTGCGGGGGGACGGGGCCAAGGGGGCCAGTTGAGCCGCTGGGGGTAGTTGCGGGGATGGGAGGCAGGGCCCCTGGTGGCCTACACACCCCGGCACCTACCTGGAATATTGCTCTGGGGCTCGATGCCCGCAGGGAAGTTCGTGTTCTCGGGGATGGAATGGCTGTAGTCGTCCAGCGGGGGGAACTCGGCCGGGATCTCTGTGTGGCGTGGGACCAGCACAGGAGGTAGAACTGTCCAGAAGAGCAGAGGTGGGTCAGTGTCAAGGCTGGGCTGGCACCAAAGCCCTCCTAGTGTCGCTGGCCCACAGGCACGGTGGACCCGCCCCCTCCCCATGAAGGGGAAGGAGACATCTGGCAGATAGCTGCAGAACCCCGGGGGGTGGGGGGGCGCCTACCTGGGGTCTCTACCCTCTGATAGTGGTAGGGATTCACGCAGACCTCATCCTTCTTCATGTTGAAGGCGAACTCACACAGCTCCATGGCCCGCAGCTCGTGGTGGCTGTGCAGGTCGGGCCATCGCCACAGGCGGCAGTAGATGACATGGGGGAGCCCCTTCCGATGGGACACCTGCAGGCGGCCATCCAGGGACCTGTGCAGATGGGGCGAAGAGGAAAAGCGGAGTGGATTGGGCTGATGTGCTCCCTGACATCGGCCCACACTGCTGCTCCTGGGAGCTAGCTGGCCCAGCCTCAGGAAGCCCCCCTGCCCCATTTCTCTGAGCTGCACAGGGCCTCAGGACCAGAGAATCCTGTTAGGGCTGGCAGGGGTCCCAGGAGAGGAACACAGAGGCCCACTAAGGAAGGCCAAGGGCCTCCCCGGGCTGGCAGGGTGGACCTTGACCTCACCAAGCCCTGGGGTGAGTTCTCCAGCCCTCGCCCCCCCCCCCCATATGAAGGGAATGGCACTTGACTCGTGCTCTGAGCAGGTCCATGGGCCGGGCTGAGGTGTGCAGAGGGGCTCAGGCCTGAGCAAGAAAATGGGAGTTCTTGAGGTATGTGCATGTGTGAGGACCACAGGGATGTGGAAGTGACGAAGCACAGGCTGCATCTAACCCCTCCCAATACGCAGCCCCTCCCCCCACATCAGAAAAAAACGGGAAAACCCCTCTCCCTTCTAGCTGCTATTTGTGAAGAGCTGGGAAGGAAAGAGGGCAATGGAAGGGGATTTCAAATGGTAAGAGCCTACAGCGGCAACCTCTCAGGAACCCCATTCTGGTTGAGGGTGTCACCCGGGTGTCACTGTCCACAGAGTGCTCCTAGTTCAGAGCCAAGGCCTGAAGCCTCCAGCTGGAGCTGAGGAGAAAGGGAGTCTCCAGCTCTACACCAGGCTGAGTTCTGCAACTGTCCCCCGCCTGGCTGGACCAAACACCACAGCCAAGGGGCCTTTCCCTGTGCAAACAATGTCTTCTGTGGTGACCCGACGCCCCCACCTCTCAGGCCAGGCCAAAGCGTGGGCCCTGACAAGCAGCACGGGGCCACGGAAGTGGGTTAAAAGGCAGACTCTCAGAGGCTTCCCCAACCTACTAAGTCAGATTCTTCCTCTTCACAACCCCCCCAGTGAAGTGCAGGAGAAGAAAGGCAGAGCGGGGGCGCCGGGCCTGCCTGCTGGGAGCCCGGGAGTGGCAGGTGCAATTTCAATCCCTGCCAAGAGTAAGGCAGGGACATGGGAGGCTTCTGAAGATGACGCCCAGTGTCCTACAGGTGAGGAGATCCTGTTCACACAGTCCTTTCTTTAACAGACCTTTTATGAGCTCCTACTACGTGTGGCACGGGGGACACAGTGGGATGGGAAGAGATGTCATAGTCAAACAGACCACAGAGTGGTCCCTGATCCCATGAGCCTCCAGTCCAATGGACAAGACAAATATTAATAAAATCATTCTACGCAGCTACAATCACCAACCGTGCAAGGATTCTGAAGGCAAAGTGCAGGGAGCACATGACCCCGGGGACCTTGTTTTACTAAAGGGCTGGACAGGGTGCCTCTGGGGTGGGGATGGTTGGCCTGAAAGTCCAAAGGACAAGGAAAACTAACCAGGCAAAGGTGCATGGGAGGAGGGCGTTCCATGTAAGGGGAAGGTCATGTGCAAAGGCCCTGTGATGGTGGAAATTATGGTAAGGAGGGAGAACAGAAAGAAGGCCAGAGTGACTGGAGAGGAGAGAGGGAGAGAACTGGGTGTAAGATGAGGTAGGGGAGCGGGCAAGGCTGGCCTTGCAGGGCCTTGGGAGCCGTGATAAAAGGTTCAACCTTCTTCCTAAAAGCCAAGGAAGTCCCTGAGATGTTTCAGCTGAGATGTTTTCAGCACACATGTGTGTGCACAAGACTGGCCCCGTGAGACTTGGCAGCCCGGACAAGACCGGGGACCGTGGGAGTGGACAGTGACTTGGCGGTACATGTGAATAAAGAGGTACATGGCGGGACGACTTTCCCTACAAGAAGGCCCAGGCTAGGATCCCACCGCTCAGTGGGTGCAACTTTCCTTAATAGCTGGGTGGGGCCAGTGGAGAAGAGTTCACAAGCTCTCCCTGCCCTCGGCCCCCACCCAGGGCTGAGGGCACCCGTTTGCCTGGCTAAACAGAACCCAAGGGCAAGCCGTGAGGGAGGGACAAGCCAGATGCAACCAGAAGCACCCATTGAGGGGAAAGAAACAGGAATCCAATCAAACTCCCTAAGCCCCTGGCCTGGGAATGGGGAAGGGACAAAGGTCAGAGCAAGACTTAGTTACAGGGATTGACAAGTAGCTGCTGACGAAGAGCATCTCCAAGGATATAATTACCTCCCTCCCGTGGGGCTTGAACCAAGGAACCCCTTCAGCCAAAAAACAGTAATTACCAGGCAGAGCGAGAGAGGACAGCCTGGGACTCACCTCCCACCACCCCACCCTCCCCACCACCGCCCCCACCCCCTGAGGCAGAGAAGGAAGACTATAGGATATGGAGTCATGCGACCTGGGGTCAACAAGAGGCTCTCCTCTCCCAGCTGGGAGACCCTGGGCAAGTCATGAGGTCTCTGGGACTCTCAGCTACTTCGTCTGGAAAATCCAAATCCCCCGCCCCCACACCCCCCACAGCTCAGTGTCCACTAGAAGCACTAGCAGTCTCTCTCCACGGGACAGCAGCCCTGGGGCAATGGGGTGAGTGACCAGGCTGTGGAGGAGAGAAAGGGAGGGTGGGAAGGGATAAGTGGAGAGAGTATTACTCAGCTGCTCCTGTTCTCCTGCAAAGCCACCGAGTGCCTGCAGATGAGGACAGCGGCCACGGTCACTCGGTGTTTGAAAAAAGTCCAAGCTAAGAGCCAGCTGAACACCAAGCGGCCTCTTCCAGGGGTGGCCCTGGAGAAAGGCTCAGGTGGGCAGTGAGGGAGGGCTGGGGCTATGGAGAGGGCCCCTCAGCCCCCACCTAGCTGATTGAAGGGGATGGCACTCTTGTTTTAAAGCTAACAATAACACAGGGCAAGAGTAGGGGCGGTGGGGGGTAACACAAGAGAAGGGTCTCGGTTTCCATGGGGCAGACGGCCCCAGAAAGAGAGCATGAGCTGAAGCTCCTGGCAACTCTGTATCTGGGCCAGAGCCTTTAGGAAGAGAAGGGGGAGGGGACAGGATGCTCTGGGCGCTCCTGAGGAGGACAGACCCTCACACACAGCCCTGACATCAGAAACCCCCAGAACCAGGACACTCTCGGCTGGCAGCTCACCCCCCAGAGATAGGACTGGACCCGAGAACTCACACCTGCTCAGGGACCTGTGAGGGGGAAAAGGGCACGGAGAGGGCACACATGGGACGGCCACGCAGATGTGCAGCTCTGACACGATACAGGTTGACGGGGACAATGTCTGCATGTGAGGTGGGCTCTGATGGGGTAGCTACAGGTTTCTGCCGCTGAGGGACAGGAAGGGGCATCGAGGTGGCAAAGGAGGACAGGTGCACTGCACTTGTAGGTCGAGAACCTCAGTCTGCTCGCCCCTCATCTCTTCCTTTCTGCATTTCATGGCTGTTTCCTCTCAAAGATAAAGTGCTCGGCTGTCTTCCCAAAGGATTATGGCATAGAAGGCTCCAGAGAGAGGAAAGACGGGGGAGAAAGGAGGAGAGACAGTAAAGGGGAGGGGGTATGGGAGTGGGTAGAAGAAGGTAGTGGAGGGAAGGAAGAGAGAAGGGGAGGGGTGAGGAATGGATGAAGGGGGAAGGGAGGGGAAGAAATGTACTTCCATCACCTACAACAAACTGAAAGAATCCGTCTACCTCTGTCCTGCCCAAGACAGCCAGTAGGAGAAGCACGCAAACTCACTCAGAGCCGGCCAAGTGGGAACCGACTTCAGAGTGGAGTGAGCGGAAACCAAGGCACCTCTCAGAGGAACCCAACAAAAGGGATTCCATTTGCTTCTCAGAACCTGGGAAAGACTTGGGAATTGGGGGCACCATGCACTTCTCAAGATGAGGCCAAAAACAGGAGGATAGCCTGAAAGTCTATGGAAGAGACAGGCAGGTCAGCTCGCCTCCCTGAGCCCCCCAACTAGTGAGAAACAGGTCTGCTCTCTGCAGAAAATGAACTGGAGAGCAGGGCTCCAGATGGGACCACGACGGCACAGCTAGGGTCAGGCGAGGGCTGGAAACAGGATGTTGTCGACCGTCTCTTGCTCACGCGGTACCCAGGATGGTGACAGGCAGGCACGTCCCCCCCCCCCACCCCACCTGTTGGAGACATTAAACAGCCCAGCCTGCAAGACACGCAATACTGACATTTGGGGAACCCCCAACAAAATGGCCCTGTTCCTGCCAGCTCACCCTACAGGGGGGCTCACGTGCCAATGTCAAACACAGAGCATTCAATCTGCTTTTTACTGCTTCACTCGTAAATACGAACGCACAGCCAGAAGCCTCAACCATTTAAAAAAAGCCTCCAACAAGAGGCACAGGGACCGAAGTAAGTGGGGGAGAAAAAGGAAGTCTCAGACAACGCAGGGAGCAGAGAACCTTTCAAACAAAATGAAACGAAAACTACTCTCAGGGAGACAAGATATTATAATCCTAAAACCAGAACATTTACAAACTATTATAAAAAACACTTAGGGGGCGCCTGGGTGGCTCAGTCGGTTAAGCATGCAGCTCCTGATTTTGGCTCAGGTCATGATCTCATGGGCTGTGGGATCGAGCCCCGCGTTGGGCTCTGTGCTGGGTGTGGAGTCTGATGGGATTCTTTCTCTCCCTCTGCCTGTCCCTCTCCATACGCCCCCACACTGCTCAAAATCAAACAAAAAAAAAACAACAAAAAAAGCCCTCTTGGAAATAATAATAATACATAAATAATAAAAATAAGTTTAAAATTCTGGAAAGACCTGAGTTTTCCCATTGTATACATGATTTGCCAGTTTTTAGAAATCAAGGAAAGCCCAGTAACCAAGGCAGTGTGATAACGGCAAACCACTGAGAAACACATCAATGGAGTCTAACAGAGCCCAGGAATAGTCACGTGTAAATGGACAGCTGATGTTCAACAAACGACAAAGACCATTTAGTAGAGACAGGATTGTCTGTTCAACAAACAGTGCCAGGACAACTGGATATCCGTATGCGAGACAAATGACCTTCAACCT